TCTTCCACTGTGAGTACCAGCTAGACCACTGAGAATGGTCAGGTGACATAACAATAATAGTAGGTTCTTGTTCCTTGATGATCCTAAGAAGATTGGAGCGACCTTGCGGTTGCTCAAGATCTAGACCGCTACGCAAATCGACTGGCTGACCTACTCGAAGACCTGATAGGGCAGCCTTGTGACTCATGCGGGGAGATCCGCCGTAGAGTTCTAGAAAATCAATCTTCCCAGTACTGGTGACCTGCCAGTGACACTCTTGATGTGGAATCGTTAGGTCTGTCGACTGCAGGGAAGCATCGAAGGTGACCATGCAACTTGCGTGGTCAGAACCTTCTGACGTCAGAGTTTCCTCATCAGGCGCGAGAGGAATCTCCACATCAGATGTTATGTCATAGTTTTTCCTCAGTTTTGAGATATTGACACGGACGATGCGTGTTCCAAGATCCACACCTACCATGGATCCTCCGAGTTCGGAGATCACCTTTACCTTTTAGCCAAGATCCATGTTTGGACCCAGTGGATCCAATCTTAGACTTATCTTCTGACCAGTAGAAAACCTTATCTCCCAAAGAGAAAGGTCCTTGGGTCATTGACAGTCTGGCTGCAAGATCTCTACGCAGATCATCAGATTGGCGTGCCTCTTGGTAAGCCCTGTTGGCAAGCTCCTTAATGGCTCTCGCAGTGACTTCCGTATCAGTTGGATTACCTGTCAACTGATTGGGATCAGCGTTCTCTGGTGTTATAACATCTCGAGGACGCCTTCCAAAGGCCATTTCTAAAGGAGTAACTCCTCCGTAGGTAATCGAAGAGTTTCTTGCCAAACATGCTTGGCGAACGAGGTTGCCATACTTCATGGTGATTCCGTTATACTGCGGGTCACCATCCTTCAGGATCTGAAGTATGAGCTTAATCTGATGCTTCAGCAATCTTACAGCAGCTTCGGCCCTGTTGGGCCATGGTGTTCCAGGTCCTGTTGCCACAGGCTTGATATTCTGCCGATTGTAATAAGCCTCCATTTTTGGAGTCATGAATGCTTGATCTCCAACTACAACCTTTGGGTTGATCTGAAATTTCTCAAAGTAGTCATTCATAATCGACATTGTAGTATGTTCTTCTTTATCCTGGACTACTTCGGCAGTCAACAAGTTTGTTGCTCCATCATAGAGAATAAGAAATACTAAGCGACTATCCTTGCCGGGAATTGGAAGCTCACCGTGATCTACAAAAGTGAGATCACCGAAAGTCTCTGATCTTAGACCAGAGATCTTCGCTCTCGAAGGAGCTCTCACATGTTCCTGGCAGGCTGAACACTTTTTGACCAGTTGGTCATATAGCTCGTAGATCTCCTTTGGGATCTGTAAGGCTTTTGTGCGTCGCTTGAACTGATCCGTACTCATATGACGGTGCTTAAGGTGAAGCTTGTAGAGTTCTACAGGGTCCTTAAGCTTCTCATGAATCCTGCGAAGAGCAATGGGAAGAGATGGCGAAGGTTCTGCGACAATCTCTTCACCTGTTGGTGAGTCTGTGCCAGGAGCCGGGTATTCTCTTGACTCAAGTGGTCTTACCTCCGTCCCGTCATCAGCTCCTGGGACTGTAGACTTCTCTTCAACAGGAGGTTTGTCCGCATATTTGCGGGTTTTCTTCAGAAGGTTTTTAAGACCCTTTGGAGTCTTTATCTTCGCAGATGGAACCTCAAGTCTTTCTTCTTCTGGAGGTTCATGTGGTGCAGAGGATTCTGCAGGTTTGTCCCTAGAGCCTGATGATGGTTCCGATGGTCCGGAAGGCTCAGGAACATCTCCAGATGATTCTGGTGGATCAAGTCTCTTGGCAGATGATTCTGCCGGATCAGATGGAAGAGGCTTCTTTTTCCCTGAAATCCTCTTCGGTGGTGGATCAGCTGCTCCCTCAGGTGCTCTGTCACAACCCTTGAGGTACGTGTGAGCCTTTTTCTGTCCGGCACAGGCTGGACAGCGACCTTCCGGTATCCTAACATAAGGCTTATTGGCTCCTAGAGCAGTCTCCGTCGCACGGAACGATGTACCTGACTTAGGAAGGTACTTCCTGGTGGAAGTAAAGCCTAGAAGGTCCAATACCAAATGGTTATTGGTACTAATCGGAAGAGGGGTTTTATACAAACCGAAAGCTTCACACGTTGCTAGGTCAGCTGTTGGACTACACTCGAGGGTCATTCTTAGATTTCTCATCTGTTCAATGGAGAACAAGATGGGGACTCTTCCCTGATCCAAAACTTCTATGGTTGTATCTCTTCTTGGAGTTGTGTTAAACCATAGAGTTACACGCTCCTTGATAAGAGCTGTTTCACTATCTGCGAAAGAGAACTTCGTGTTCGAAGGTGAAAAAGTGAAATCAATCATGCCTGGGGCATGTTGCTTCACGGCCTTGATAAGCCTGTTCACCGCATAGCGGGAACCCATAGCCCTAGTACAACCAGAGTCAAGAATGACAAAGGTAGGGCTCTTATCAAGATTGATCCGCTCTGTAAGAGCAGATAGGACGGTGTGCTGCAACGGAAACACTGCTGTTGCAGTCTCCACACCTTGCCCCTCGCATGGTTCAAAAACCTGGGGCACGTAACTCACTGATGAGTTGTACACGGGTTCTTGGTGCGCGCTCGGATCTGTGCCTCTACCTGATGATCCTGCTTGATTTCTTCTCTTCTTTTTCCGTGTCTTTCTTCGTGAGGCTTGTGATGCATAGTATGTATAAGACGTTTGATCGTCATAAGCGGCATAATTCCAACTGGAGTCAGTATAATAACTGTCCTCATACCATGAATCCCAGCTCGGTGCGGTGGAACTTTCATAGGCCTGTGGAGATCCAGTTTGGTCTCCTTGTAAGGAGGCAGACTTAGCTGTATCCTTACCTTTGCCTTTTGATTTTGTACCCTTGAAGGAGCTTCCTTTATCTCCTTTGTCCTTTCCTTTTCCTTTGCCTTTTCCACCTTTTCCTTTTTCCTTTCCTTTACCTTTACCGAAATAGCTGGAATCAGTTGGATCATGTTCTGCCTGGTTGGCTCTCCCTTTTCCGCGGTATGACCTAAAACGGCCACGTCCTTTTCGCTTGCCACCCTTTGCTCTTCCCGGTGATCCGGGACGCATTCTTGGTCTTCTTCCCTTTTTGAATCTCCTTGCAACGAAGGCTTCATGGTCGTCAACTGTCCAAAAGACAGCTTCTTCATCCTCGGCGGCAAGAAAGCCTTCCTCAAGGGTGTCTTCGTCTTGAAGCCAGAATCCATCGACTCCGTCGTATTCACCCTGATCGAGGATGAGGAAGTTTCGACCTCCGCGTTTGCGGCGTTGATCTCTCCTTCCATGGCGGTCCTTCTTGTGAGAAGTGTGCCGAATATTGGGATCCTGCAGACCAGTTCTGGTCGTTGAGAACTGATCGAACATGGTCTGCCGTACTATAGGGTACGTGTAGGTCTCAATTCGGTAACCTTGGTTGGTCAATGCTGTTACCAACCTCTCACGTTGCATCTCATTTAGGTCGGACTGCACTAGGAAGAGGAGAGCTAGGAGATTATCATTTAGAGGAAACGCTCTTCGATGATTATCAAGGCGTTCCTTGTTCCATGTTTCGAAGAAACGTGCGGCGTATGTGTCTCTCTCGGTTGCATCCTGTAGGCGCATGAAGGTTTGATCTGCTTGCACAGCCTGCATGAAATCCGGATGGGCATCTTCCAGAATTATCTCTGGTAAGAGATCCATCCATGAGTTTCTCACGCGCTGTAGCACGATCTCAAACTTAGCAATCCAAGTCACAAAGTCTTGGTTGCCCTTCCATGCCTTGAATAGGCCGAGAAAACGCCACAGGAAAACGTACTGTTCTCCTTTCACGAAAAATGGACGCATCTTCTTCTTGAAGTAATCTACTCCGTCTGGGGCTGCAAGCCTTTCTCGGTTGAGTGATTCCTTTTGTACTGCGGCCAATCCGGAGAGCCTCGTCTTGAGAGACGGACCTCTTTTGGTGTCATCCAGCGTTGTTATATCGCACCAGTCGTCAATCAACTGTTCATACTCAAACCACGAGGTGGTGCCATCATAGGCAGGCGCGATCTTGGGCGTTATGCCTAATGATGCAAGCATGCGGTCAGATGTTGCATATGACTGTGCGACATAAGTAGCTGGACCTTGGGAGGTCTCTTCGTTCTCATATCCCCCGGAGGATTGGGAACTGCCGTCGGCTTCGCTATGCGAGCTCGACATTGTGCTGCCTCTTATCCGCTTGGTTAAGCGTTCGGCGAGGCCGACCGCTGTAGCGGACTTTGTGAGGCGGGCGGCCCTTTCCGGGCTCCGCTACCAGAAAACTGTGCCGATACACCCCCAAGGGATACTCCTTGTAAGGAGGTGTATGACCAGTTTATTCCCTAAGGATCAAAGGGCAGCGCCCTGCACACGGACAGTAGTTGTTTTGTCTTGCTACGCAAGGAGAGCTTGTCTTGTCTCAATATGGTAAAACCACTGTGAGCCAATGGGCAGCGGAATGTATATGTATGAGCATGCAGCCATTGCTGTAGGTACCTGTTAGAGCTACCCCTTTAGAGGTTTATGGTTTCCCCCCCCCCCCCCCCTCCCCCCCTTTCCCGCCCCCTCCCCCCCTTTTTTCGTGCTCCCACTTCTTCTCCCCCCCTCCATTGCCTGTCTTTCTTTTCAAGCTCTGTCTGTGTTGTTTTTTCTTGCTCCGGGCGGCATGGCTGGAAGGCCTTAACCCGCAACTTTCGCACCAAGCTCTGACTCAAGCATTTCACAGGTGCCTTCTATTCTTGCTCGACTCTGCCCAGAGGCTATACAATAAGCCGGGACCCTCGCCCTGCCACTACAGAGCCGAGGCGGGCGGCGTAGCGTTAAAATTAAGGTTCCCTATATGGAATCTAATATTTTGGGGCCATAGGGCCAGGGTTTTCAATCAGGTTCCGACATTAGCAGTAGTCTGTAGTCACGAAAGCACGGGCACCCGCAAGATGATCCGGGGTTCCCAGCACGCTTCATCCCCAAGGAGACGAAGAGCGTGTCGGCCTGCCAAGCCCAGAAACGGGATGCGAGATCTGTCCAACAGAAGCTCAAAGCAAGGACCCCCTCCCAAGTGACATCAGCCCTGCTGAGGCCCTGCAAAGTCCCTCCCGAAAGGACCTGGGCTGCAAAGTCTTCCTCGCTCTTCTGGATCCTCAGAGGCTCGAGAACTCCCGGCGGTTCGCATCCGACAGGTTGACGTGGTCCACTTGGACTCACTGGCCGGCCAGTTTAGGCTCCAGGCTTCTCCTCGAGCTTGGCGAGGCGCTCCTCGTTGCCATGTCGAGCTTTCGAAACTTTTGAGACTCTTTGATGTCGGACTCTCTGGCACTCACGCAGAGTTTACAATAGCGAAACCCGATTTCACTTGAAACGCGTCCCAAGGGGCCATGTTCTGCGAGCCCATGCCACTATCGGGCAGCTCCTCGGCTTCGGCTATACACAGTTTCAATCCCAGACGATTTCCACCTAATCTCTGGGTCTATACCACATCGACGCTTGCTGTACGACATTCGAGGGCCTCCGCCTCCGCATGATGGGGGCTCTGAACTCCCACAAAACGTAGAAAGCTCAAAGCCCCAGCGGCATCGATGTCCAGGTTTGCCTGGGCCTTCTTCTGCGCTCGATGAGCAGCTTGGTCCTCGCCCCATACATGTTCGTTGTTCGCAATCCTCAATCCTTGTTCACGGGGTTTGAAGGCCTGCTGTTCATCCGGGTTTTGGAGCGTTCTGGGGTCGTGAGGCCGAGTGCTTGAGGTGCTGGCTCTTGCGATCACGGCGTTCACACATTCCACGGTTCCACGCATGCGGGAGTCATTCTGCAGATTGTTTGGCCACACCCGATGCACAGGTCCTCTTGTCGCTGCTTCTCCCTGCGTGCACATGGGAGGTTAGGCAGCGTCCAACCGTCTCACCAAAACAACAACTTCAAAACTCGACAATGCCATCAAGCTCAGTCTGAGTCCTAAGTCCGTCAGAGCGCACGTCGGAACCCCTGAGTGCATCCCGAGAGCTTGAACAAATTCGCGATCTTCCGCTGCTTTTGCTCAAGCTTCTGCACCATAGCGTCCTGACGGCAAAGGGCGAAGTCAGGCTTGGTTGCCTTGCGCAAACTTGGGGCCATTGCATCATAACAAGGGATGCTGGTATAGCTTGACTTGAACGAAACGGCTCGGGATGGCTCGGGCGGCTGCTACCACTGCATTGCACGGGAACTTGGACAAGTGGGGCGGCCCGGGTCCCGGGCCCATTGCAGTTTGGGGCCTTTGAACGGACAGATCTCTGGGCTCAGGGCAGGGATGTCTCGCCTGGTCTGCAAGTGACCCCGAGGCCAGACAAGCAACCGCCCCCTTCGTCCTGCTTTTGGGTCAACTGCAGCTCTCTCACCTTGTCCAGGTCGAGCTTCCCGTTGGCCTTTGAACGCAGCACTCCTTGCCTCACAGCCTACGGCAGCGGCTGGAGGCAAGGGCGATGTCTCTGCTTCAGCATACATCCCTTCTTCGGGTTTTAGGCGAGCTTCATCAAGCAGCTTCTTCGCATCGTCGTGCAGCTCCTAGGCCAGCAGAGTAGTGTCCGCTTTGCTGGAAGGTGCAGGGCTCAGAGAAAGGCCGGCCGGCCCGTGCCTCCGTATTGGTTTCCACAGCATCTTCACCCATTCCCCAGGTGACCTGCCGTCAATTCAAGATCACCGGCGGACTCTGCCTATGGACGCGACATCCACGGATGCAAAGCGCAAAAAGACGGGAGCCTTTGCCATGCTCATGCTAATGACAAAGCGGGAGGAGCCTGGTGTATGCGCTCTTTGTCAGCTGCCTCCAACTCCTCAAAGCGACGCTTCCAAAAGAGCGCCCATGGACATCTTTTGAGCAGATGCCGTACCTCGACTCGAAGCCTCGACTACGAAACGCCAAGCTCGGTGTCCTGTATCCCAAGCTATCCCCAACCGTGGTCCTTCTGCTTTTTCATCCTCTCCTCAGCCTCGACAGGCAGACAAGCAGACAAGTACAGAAATCAAAACCGGACGATAACAGTACTTGTTCCGAACGCTCCTGGCCTATCCTGGCCTACTGGAAGTTCGACGACATTCCTGTTTTGTGGACAGTCGGAACTTGTGTATCTGCGCGAATTGCGCAGCATGAATTCTGTTCTCCCGCTCTCATGCTCGAAGATGGGTGAGCCGGCTCCAATTCGAGAGCAATGGCGATGGCGAGAGTGGGACAATCAACAGACTCGTGTTGGAGTTCACGATGGCCCAGCGGTGGCTCCAAGCACGAGATAGTGCAAGAATGCCCCACTAAAACGACACGTAAGACGCCACCAGGGTAGAAGAACCCCTTGGAAAGGGTTTGTAGGGAACGCCGAAGGGCATGAGGTGAGCCACCTTCCACCGCCTGACGTCGCCCCTGCTTGTGAGGAACTGAGAGGGCGATCATCATGCGCCTAGTCGAATGCACATGCCAACACACCAAAAGAAACGACTGTACTGTGCGGTTGGCATGGCCTTGATTGCAAAAGGGTCACTAGATCTGACCAGCTTTGAAGGTCGAGACCTCGAAGGGAGGATTAGCAGTCCCGTCTATAAGCGATTGCCGACGGAGACCAAGGTGCTGAAAAACCACATCAGAAGCCCAAGCCTTGGATGCATAGGCTTTTGCAACGGCTTCGCGCTGCGCCTATCAAGGCTGCGTGGTGCCGGGCTGAAGATCAGTGCTTCGAGTGCAGTCTCTGTGCTATGGCACGAAAGTCCTACAGCAACTTTCACAGATTCCAAACCTGCGATCCGAAAACGGAAGGCTTGAATGCAACCTCTTGCTAAAACTCTTGTGGCAGGAAGGCAAAGAGCGAATTCGTTAAGCCGTGTCTGCACGCAACATGGTGTTGGGACTTGAGAGCGGGTGCTCTTTCGACTAGAGACTTTCAAGCACCTCAAGCTGCATGCGCTTCTTCTTTGCCGCTTTTCGCCGCTCCAAGTCCTTCCGTCCAGAACACACACGGGCATGCGTAAACATCGTCCGGTCCGAGATTTTTCAAGAGAGCCGAGCGCCAGTCCTTCAGCATCGCCTGCTCACGCGCGGCACGCTCCTGCCAGACTCGACCCAAACTCCCTCGTCTTCGTGCAGCTCTAACGGATCTCCTGTCACCTCTTCTCAGGCCCCAACCTTGGCGGCCTCTTCCCGGAAGGCGCTCAAGTCGACATCGCCCTCCTCCTCCATCGCCTCCAGCTTTGCGTCTCAGACCGCCGGAGATCACGGCTTCTGTGCAGGTCGTCACTGTTCAGCCATCTAAGAGAGTCAAAGCGCATCCCAGGACCTCTTCTGGACCACAGAGAACAGCGAGAACGTCCCGTGCCGAAGGCCTCCAGGAATGCTGTGGTTTCTGATTCGGTATCCCCTTGGCGCTAACGACGCGGTCAGAGGCCCCCCGAATCCGAGGATCACCGAGAAATCGTCAAACATGTCGGACATCTGTGCGCAAAGGGCCACAATCGCAATCGTATATTCTTTTACAGACCACAGAGTCAAAGAGCATATTATGAAAATCCTGGGACCGCTCTGGGTTCTTCGGGGGCCTCTGAGAACTGTGAAGGAATTCCAAACCCGAAGGTGAAACTGAACCTTGCCGGAATCCCCACACCAAAGCGGCACACGCCCCTTCCCTTCTTCACAGAATCGTGCCTGATCGCGTTGAACTTCAACCTTTGGCTCTTACGGCTTCGGGGGACTTGCGTAGACAGCGGTCAAGGCCCAGGGTGCTCTGGTGTGCTCTGGCGGCTTGACATCGGATTTCGCATGGGGTTTCGCCTGGGCCTGAGAGCGCGTCCGGGATTCTGAGCTCGCAGCTGGCCGCCGACGCGCATGGGCTCAAACTCGACAGCAGAGCGGCGACAAAGGGTTTGTCAAGTCATCGGCGGGTAGGGCCTAGGCCTAGGGGGCTTAGGGGGGGTAGGGGGCCGAGGGGGCCTAGGGGGCCTAGGGCAAGCAACTGACTTCCAATCGCCTGAACCTCCTCCAGACTTGGAATGTTTTCCCTCTCCGGCCTTGTGAGGGTCGAGCTGCTTGCCGTTCCTTGATGCTTCAACCATACCCGAAGGTGGCTTAGGCATGTTTAGGGTTTTGGGATGTTAGACTCTGCGCGGGAGCTTTTCAAGACCGGAGGACTGATAGCAGTAGCTGCAAAGATGTCCGTTGGAATGAAGCCCGTGCTTTTTCTAGGTTGGGTCTTAGCCGTTGGGGTAACATCTCAGCAGTAAATTGCTGCAGCATATGAGCAGCAGAATTTTAGTGCCCTGCTAAGCGGAACATCAGGCTTCCAAGACACCCCGTGCCATCCTCAACCTTGCGAAGCAGAAGCTCTTCCGAAAGTCTGCACATCTGCTCCATTTCCCTGATTTACACTCCGTGAGTCAGAGCTAAAGTCGAGCGACAGGACCGTTCCATGGGAACTCTTCAGGTCGTAAACATAGATTTCCGGAGATCCCTCCTGAGAAGGCTCGTGCCGCAAGGCTTTCTGAATTCTGGTGACACCTCCGCTCGGCAGCTTTAGGTGCTGGAGAGTAGAGCACGTGGAAAGAGCATAGAAGTTCATAGAAGAGCAGAGCGCAGAGCAGTGCACCACATCACCACGTGCTCTACAGGTCCTTGCACTGGAGGACGCAGTGGTAGCGCGAGGCCATCTTCTCGAGGCCCTCGAGAACCACGTCGCAGTTCTTCTCGCGGCCTAAGCGAAGCGGCCCGTGCCCCCGCTAGAAAGAGTCACTCGGAGTTGCCGCTCAGGCTCCCCATGGCTCTCCTGTCTCTTGGGGTTCTTGAGAGCTGAAGGCGAACCATCTTAATCTTCCTTTGTGAAGCTGTCCTTTCACTGGATGGTCTGCCCTGACACTCTGAATCTGCCAGTGAGCCGATAAGAAAGGCATCGTGCTCGCGGACATCGAGATCCACACGACGTTTCACCTGCGCAGAGACAGAGAAGCATGCTGACAGGCTGAGTCAGCACGAAGCGAGGGGGCGCTGGTGGAACGTCTACCGGGCTACCGTCTACAGAAGCCGATGCAAGCGAACAGTTGCACAAAGTCCAGGAGATCGCTGTGCTCTTGTGAGATCCAGACGCTGATCCAACAGGGCGAATGACCATGGCCGCCAACATACTAGTAGCATCAGTGCAGATGGCTTCAGCTTGCGCTCCTCTGAATGAAGACTGGGCTACTTCTCCAACGTATCCCTTGGCTTGAAGCACCACCTGCCTCACCGGCTACAATGAGGTCCAGTGACAACGAGTCCTCGGGACACGAGTGGCTGCTGGACCTCCTGGAATCCCAGCAGCAGGGCTCAACACCGAAAGTGCTCATGACAAGCCTGAAACCTGTAGACTCAGACCGAATCAGAGGGCATCAAATCAGCCTGTTCAGTCAGGCATCAAAGCAGGGCTTGCCGGCCCAGCTTGGTTTGGCATAGTTGAAGCCCACCCTGCAGAGTGTCACAGGGATAGAAAACTTCAGTGCATTGGCAGGTCGGAGTTGAGCTCACTTCGGGGTTCGCCGCTTCGCTGAGGTAAAGAACAAGCAACGGCCACAGTGTAGATGTCCAACACAGGTACCTAGATTTGGCAAACATCGAACCACACTTCACCTATGCGCTCGTGGTCATGCCCTTTGGGGCACGGTCTCGACAAACACGCCAGATCCCGTCACCCCTGAATTTGCGACTTACAGCCACAGCTGTGTCTATCCCACACTCCCGAAACGCTAAACGACCAGGCCCTGACATGCCTGAAAGCCAGACAGAACCTAGAACACGACGCATGCGGTATGGAGCACAACTACTTGGATCCAAGAGCTTGCCGCGCCCATCCTGCACCGCCAACCCGAATTCGCCCGACAGGCGCAAAATCCAAAGGACTTCTCAATAGCAAACTAGGTTGCTTTGTTGGCTGGCCTGACGCCCTCTGCCATCACAGGCAAGTCAAGCAGTCAGGGCTTGAGGCCTTGGGTGCAGGGTTGCTATGTGTTGCAGCTTCAAGGGTGTGCGCGCAGCGTTTGGGGATCGAGGTTCTCTAAGAGTTTCCGCACAAACGGATTCGAACGCTTCACGGGCTTCGCGGCTTGGTAGTTTGATGAACGGCCCGGCAAAGTATGAACTTCCTTGTGGACCTATAGCTCGAGCCAACACAACCTCGAGGTCGTGGATGCGGCAGCAGTCCCTGAAAAGTCTGCTGAGGACGGAGTTTGGCGGTGGTCGAAGGTCTGAGTTGGTTGGGAGCGATGACTCACACTCAAGAACTTTGGAAGCTTGAGAAAATCTTTCCCAGGTTGGGAACTATGTACTCGCGGCGTGTTCTTTGGGCAAAGTCCTGTCCTGTTGATTGTTTGTATCCCAAGAAACCGAAAGCGAGAGTTCAGCCTACCCTGACAGCTGGGAGCCCTCAAGAAGTGCTCGTGACAATCCTTCATTCAGCCTCCCGGTGCCCACCTTGCCATCAGCGCCGACACTTGAGATTTCGCGAGTTGAGCAGCTAGGCCAGCTAGGGTTCAGGGCTTACTGTAGGCTGTAGGGCTTGGAGTGCTTGGTTTGGTTTGGGTCCGGGTGCGTAGCTTGTAGATGGCTGAGGCTAAGCCGCTAGGCGCACCTTCAAGGCTCGCTGCTGCCATCGTGCTATCGCTGCTATCGTCTTCTGAGACATCCGAGGTAGCTGTGAAATTGTTGTTTTTCAACTTCCCATACTTGGCATACTTCATCGCAATGTCTCGAGCAACAGCTTGCAATGCCAGCATTGAGATGCCTGAAGATACTAGCAAGGATTAGGTGCTGATGAGGTGGCATCGTCGAGATGTGAGGCTCAGGATGAGAAAGGAGGAAGCGGGGCTTTTTACAGGGCTTGGCGGCCTACACAGGCTTCACGGTCCCCAGGCTCTCACAGCGAGGCTTCGCGATCCCAGGCATAGTGAGGCTCCACTCTTACGCTACACATCGCAGCCGACAGAGTTTGCAACCGAAAGCCGAACTCGCTTTTGTGGTCACTGCAATTGCTGTGGCTGCTCCTGCTCCTGCTCGTCTGCTCGTGCCATCTGACGAAAAGGAAGGACCATTATCAGAAGAGGCCCCTCACCCTCAAGCTAGCCTAAGCCTATGTGACGTTTTGGGGTATTGGGCTCTTGCGACTGGGCCCCTCCTGGTTGGTGCCTTAATTTCTGCAGCGATGTTCTCGCTTCGTCTTAGAACTCCTCGTCCTCCGCCTCTTTGGCAGGTGCCGGCGCCGGTGCTGCAGCTGGTGCCGGGGAGGCAGCCGGGGCGGGTGCCTCCGAGGGAGAACCGCGCAGGGTCTTTTCTAGCTGCAGGGGCCCTACGCAGAGACCATTCAAACATTGGAACCCCTCGAGGATGGGACCGAATTGAAGCAAAGGGATTTATTTGACACCTCCTTGGCGTCGCTGGCTGCCTCCGTTGCTGAGCCCTCCGCCGCCTCCTCTTCGTGTTGCGATGGGAAGCCGGGAGTAGGAAGCTCACTGTGATTAGCGCGAAATGTCAGGTGCGCCAGGGACATGCCGCAACAATGTGCACCCCTTTGCCTGATAAGCTTCTCGAGCGAAATCAAAGAAAAACCGAAAGCGATTCAAGGAGAAGCTCCTCGTCCTTGCGAGCCTGGAGGAACCGAGGGAGGATGAAGTGGAACCTGCTCGGCTGCTCAGGCGCTATCACCTTCACCTGGCCCCTAAGCTCCCACAAACAGGCCCACGGAACCAGGCCGGGCCGGAGATTGCCTGGGCGAGACTGGCTCTCCGAGCTGTGAGAACTGCTAGAGCCAGTTGAAAGTCGGCAATGTCGGACCTGTGCGAAATATGGGAATTGCCTTTAGCACGACATCCGTCGACACCTGAGCGATCCGTCGCATTTCGTCGCAGCTTGCGAAGATGAGGAGGCCTCTTCAAAATTCATCAAATGCGTCAAACTCCCAAGCTGGGGCAGCTGCGGCAGTGCCCCACATCCACATTACGTCAATGTAGCGCTCGGACTGCTGGTACTGGCGACCAGAGAACCTTCGCTGCACAGCGGCTTCTGTGTCCGTGGTTCTGGGGAGTTGTAGATCCGCCGTGAAGGATTTCGTGGGGTCAAAGACTCCGAAGTCCGGCCCTGTACCAAAAAGCCTTGCTTGGATTGTGTGGAAGATGGGAACTGACTGCAGCGCCTGGACCAAACCGGTGCTCCGTCAGGCACGCTTTCTGCGAAATCCACAAGAGGGCTGGGGTCAAAATATATTTGAACGGCTGCAGCAGCCCTGCTATGGTCCAGGAACTTCTTTGCCCAACAGCCCTGCCCCAAGCCACGTCCCAGATCCAAACAAAAGTGCTCAGTGGCTCACCAGCAAAAGCCTAAGCCTTGCTTGGTCCCTTGGTCCCCCTCTTCCAGGAGTGCTGAGCGACTGGATGGCGAGGAAGAAAACGCGCTGCCAGGTCAGTCCGATCCTGGGAAGAGCCGAGGCCAAGTGAGGCAGAGGGCACAGGGCAAAGGCCACAAGGCCCCTCGGAAGGCCTTTCTTTCTGGCGCCGGCTAGTGACAGCGGACGATTGCGCACGATGCGCTAGCCGGTGCTTCTCGGAACTCGGAAGTATCGCCGCACTAGCTACAGTGTGATAGGACAAGCCGTAGTACCGACGAAGAACCAAAACGTTAAAACGGGCAGAGCACCTTTTTGAGGTGGTTTGAAGCGCATCGCGCCGCACCCGTCGCAACTGCGAAGCTAGGCTAGCCGGCGCCGGGGGACGCCTTCAGCTACCGCCGCCCGCCAGCGTGCGACGGTCCACAAAATCCGGTCAATAAGTTAAAAAGGGGTGGAGAGGGTGGGAGCTGAAAATGGCCGGGGCGACGTCGAACCGCAAGCAACTGCGGCATCGACGTTCGCCGGCTTGTCCCTGCACACACAAGTGTGTTTGTTACAGGACAAGCCGTATTACCGACGAAGAACCAAAACGTTACGACGGGCAGAGCACCTTTTTGAGGCGGTTTGAAGCGCATCGCGCCGGACCCGTCGCAACCGCGAAACTAGGCTAGCCGGCGCCGGGGGACGCCTTCAGCTACCCGCTCGGCGCTCCCCTACCCCTACAGTGAGCCGGCTCAGCCACCTTAGCTCGCCAACTTCAGCAACTCGTGCCCGCCTCGTGGATGGCATAGTCGATTCGATGTCCATCGCCGAGCGCTTGAGGACCGCCAGGATGGCCGCAGTAGGTGTGTTGACGCGGATCCATCCCATGCTCCGAACGGTTTCCAGATCGCCGCGGGACACCGCGTCCGCGATGTTCGCCCTTGACGGAAGTCGGGAAGCCACTCGCACAAGGATGCCGTGGACCAGAAGGCCGCAATGACGCCGTTCACCGTCTCGTCCTTGCCGTAGCCCTTGGAGAGGGCGAACTGGCCGGCGACGTTGTCGATGAAGGCCATCCATCGCGCCGTCAGAAGCCGGGCCATGGTCAGCAGTGCCAGCACTTGCGCCAAACCACCTCCAGAATATGGATGAACGCCCGCCGTGCCTTGAAGGTCTCCAGGAAGTCCGCCGGGGCGTGGCCGGAATCGAAGAACACCCTGGCCGGCGTGCGGTCATCGATGAAGGGTGCCAGTCTCGGCATGATGTTGGCCAACATGGGCCCGGAGGCTCTACCTGTAGACCCGTGGCCGTGTTATGTGCCTTGGCGTACACTGGCTTGAGCGCCGCCTTCCCCAAGGCGCCGAAGGTGGACTGTGTTGGGCGAGCTCGTTCTGTTGCAGCGCCTTCGATGGTGTCGAGGATCTTCTTGACTCTCGCCGGTGTGGGCGACAGGCTGACGCCGTGTGCGGTGATGCTGGTCAGGACATGTCAGGACCCCCTGTACCACCTGCTCGGCCGCCGGCGCCTGTGCCTTCGACGGTTTCGCTGGAGCCCCAGCAGCTCGAAGAATTCCGCCCTGCCCCGAACGCGCCGTCTGCGGCGTCATCGCAGTCGACGCCGTTAAAGTCATCCACGAAGTGGCCCGCCAGGATCCAGAGGAGGACGCGTTGCAGCACCTGCAGGGCGTCCGCCGTCCTAGTAAAGTTCCAGACGGACGCCGTCACCCCAAAGCACATCGCCATGTAAAACCAGAGGGTGGTTTGGCTGGGCGCCTGCAGGAACGTTCCTGAGTGCCGACTCCTTGACCGGCCACTGCCTGTATGCGTTGAGCAGGTCGTGTCCATAGAGCCGGACCGCCGTTGCTAACGCCGTCCCCAGCAGCTCGACGACGCGCCGCACCATGTCCACATAGTCGTCGACGAAGTGGTGCATGGGCACGTCGTGCACCGTGATGGTGGAGTTGTGGCCTGAGCGCCGCCAGTCCTGAAAGGCCCCCAAGTCGACGAACGCCCGGGCCAGCCTGGGCGAAGCCTGTTGACGCCGAGAGATCGAGAGCCATCTCCCGGAAAGCCCGCTGGAACCACAAACGCTCGAGCCCCATATTAGAACACGCCGACCAAATAGAAATGAGAAGGAGAAAAAGAAAGGAGAAGAGAGAGGATGCGCCGACCGACATGTAACTCCGGGCCTCTGCTCTTTTTCACTCGCCGCAAGCGGCAGTGCAGTGCAAACATCGGTGAAACCCGCCGGGGAGATGTTCGAGGACGCCGAAGACATGGCGTCGCCGGAAAAGGCTACAAAGACAGCTGAAAATGGCCGGGGCGACGTCGAACCGCAAGCAGCTGCGGCATCGACGTTCGCCGGCTTGTCCCTGCACACATAAGTGTGTTACACGACAAATCCTGAACCCTAAACACACAGCCCTCACACAGCTCTAGAGGGGGGCGCAGGTGCCGGCCACCCATTCTGGCTTCTCCGCTTGCAGACAGCGGGCTACCGTTACGTACCGCAAGTCTTGAAGCATGGTGTTGCTGTCAGAAGGCAGCAGCTCGCAGAAGATTGATGTGGAGCGTATCGCAGCGCTGCCTGTCTGAAAGGCCAAGTAATTCTGCGTCGGTTCGTGAGCATAGACAATCAAGATTTTCGCACTGGCCACGCCCAAACCTTCTCCTGAAAAACTGATCCGGCCTGATTTGTCGGCGATAAAGTCGATCACGCGCATCACGAAGAACATGAAGACCTCGGCGGTGGGATGGGCGAGGCATGTTGCACCCTCCAGCCGGAGTTGCAGAAATGAAAGCGCGTGAAAGCACATTGGGCATCCTGTACATAGTGTCACACAAGGCAAGGACCGGTTTGGCTAAGCAGGCGATACTTCTTGTGGTCGCGGGATTTGATCCAGCAACCGGAGATCATCCTTGCTGTGCTTCGTTGCATGCACAGCTCCACGAAGCTGTCAGCAACACCCCTGGGAAGACTCGGACACCCCCCGTTCGAACAGCTCGCAGCCACAGAAGCCGCTTCTCCGCGAAAATCCCGCAAAGGCCCCCGGCTGAGGAGAAGATGGCGAGGAGAATGGCGGAGTTGATATCCGCGGACTGGGTCAAGAACTCTTGGAGGGCCGGGCAGGCGGAAGAAAGGCTGCACAGGAAGCGCCTGCCCGCCGAAGCCGCTCTGCGCCGTGTAGAAAAGGAACCTCGCAGGCTCTGAGCAAAGAAGCGACCGTTGGACTCCTTGAAATCTTGTCGATTTGGGAAATGTTGTGGCTCTACCTAAGCTTCCTGCACTGGGCCCGCACATGAATTCTTGATCTTTGTGCAAACCGAGTCACTGCCACTCCAAACTAAACAGCGCCATCCAGGCGCAGAACATGGCCCTGGCCGCAGCAAGCGCACGCATAGAGAACCCAGGATTTGCGGGGGAATGCCGGAACAAAGGGAACGCGGCTGGCTCTTGGAAGCTCGGATGGGAAGTTCAGTACGACACTCGACGAAGACCGTCCTTTGTGATGCGAACCTCGCGGGTGTTCATGTTGGAAGGAGTGCAGTCCCGGGCTCATGCAATTGCTGCAAGTTTCTGCAATACGGCTTCGCGGATCTTCGGGTGGGGAGCAAGCTCCATTCTACACCTGCGCTGCTGGCCGTGTGACCTTGGCAAACATCAGAACACATCGTGACAAGAGTCAGTCCGACTTCTTGATGCATGCTGAAGCCTGGAAGTTCTTTGCCTCTGGAGCTTGTGATTAGCCACGTTTTACTCTGCCTCCCCTTCATTAGTTACGTGCCTCGCCTTTTGGTAGAGGCAACGACCCATGCAATCTTGCCATGCTTGCCAGTGGTGTGTCGTCGCACGCCTCTACAGTTTCTTGGCATCTTCATACCGGTGGCACTTGCCTGTGTAAACCGCCCGCTTGCCCTTCCGGCAAATTCTCAAGCAGTGGTTTGGGTGCAACAAGGCAACATCATCGCTGGTATGCTTGCCGAAGAAACCAAGCGGCATGCTAGGACGGCGGGAGTTGGTCAGACAACGAACAACAAGGGTTCCTCTGATCTTGCAAGCCGGTGTTGGGGGGCTCCTTCAGCTTCGGCGGAAAGTTGTAAGGCTAATGGATGTGTGGGATCGCGCCCACCGTCGAAGATGCAGTACGCATCCTTCTGCCTCTAAAGCATGACAATGACAGCCGCCGCTGATGCAGCTATGTAAAGGCGACGTCTGGAGGTTGCTACTTCTCTCTCGGCTTTGAAATAGCTGCGCTCTCTTGACATATGTCTGCACAGACTGTGCAGTTACAGACCACACGACCTGAAATCCCCTGCACTCCAGGCTCCCGACATGATTGACGTGGTCATCTGAGAGAACCGCCGGGCAGTCCAGCTCCTGCAAACATGCTGGCCAAAGCAGGGCAGCCGGTGTTGCAATTACAGGTTTGACACGAACACTCAGAGGTTTCAGGAACCAGCACCAAACCCCAAGACTCAGAGGCACTCCACACAACTCGGCGATGCGGCTGACCCGGGCAAGCCCCGGTGAGGCCTGTCTGCCGCCCCGAAGCGGTGGACCACGCCGATGATGATCTCAAGTGAGCAGGGCTTAACTTGCTAGTATCACTACAATAATACCACTATATCATGATATCCCTCGAAAGCCTCGAAAGACTAAACGCCCATCTCAAGTCCAAGCACCAACATTGGTAGACCCTCCTGGGGACTTGGGTTGAAGTCCGAGGGCTCCACGAAGCCAAAGAAGACAGACCTTCGTGTTGCAAACTCTGTTCGAGGTCGGGGATGGTGCAAAACAGCGAGCTCCAAGCTCCCCAAACCCCTTCGAGACGAGCGGCAGCATCGTCCAAAGAAACAGCCATCCGGTTTCCGACCCGGAATATCCTGTCAGGCTTTGCCACTTCATGCAACGGCTGGGTCAAGCAGCGTAGGGGGATTGCCCCTGGGTGGAACTGACTGCGGATGATTTTGGTCTGCTGCGGCAACCAATTCGGTGCTAGATTCTGCCGTCTGCCAGATTCTTCCCTTGCGACTGCCCATCAAGAAGCTTCAGGTCACGACGAAAGACGAAGCCACCTGTGGCCCGTCCATATGTCTGGCTGGGCAGCCTGGCACATCGGCTCTGGGCTCTTTGATTTGCGGAATTGCGAGGGATGGGGCAGTATCCCAGCGAAGCCTCACAGGCTCTTGGCACCGCACCCTGAGATCACGTACCGCACCCACATCGACAAAGCCAGGCCCATGACATAGCCTGCGCAGCTTTCACGAGAATGCTAAGCTATTTGAGGACTCTGCGCACTCGGCGGAGGCCACCAGTTCAGCGATCCGAAACTTTCCGCAGAAGCCGGCAGGATTCGCAAGGCCTGCGTATGTCGTCTCGGCCACTTGCCACGCATCTGCCCACTTTTGCTTTTGCTCCTCTGGAAGGCTCAGTCTGGTTTCTTCGCGTGCCCTTGTGCCTTGTGAGAAGCAGACTCGGGGTTTCGCAGGTGCAGCCCAGAAAGGGGAAGGCACTTTTGCAAAGACAGTCTCACGACTCTAGCCTGCACAACTCGGATGCTCATGACCGTGGTTCTCCAGAGCGACCGGACATGCATCAGTGCAGGGCCCAAACGCCCCAAATCCCCGAAGCCAGACAGCAAAGAGCCGTCCCGCGGTGAGGGGCCATCCGACGCCTCCTCCGAAGCCGCCAAGACCTGAAGAAACAGATTTGCAGGACGGGGCCGCAGGTTTGCACGGGCACCCCAAAGCTCGATCTTCAGGTGCTCTGCCACCAAGCAAGAGGCCACGAAATGGCGGGCCCAGCATGCCCCGAAGCACTGCAGCCTTAGCATGCGCAAAATCTCCACCGAAATCTGCCAAGTCTGTTCCTCTTGATCGTGCGACGGGCTCTGAGTTGAGGGTTGTCCTCGTTGCGCTTTGGCTCATACGCACACGTTTCGTGCTAGTTTGCCACAGCTCGTAAATAACGACAAACACCCGTCCCTGTGCAAGAGAAGCCGTTGCAGCTTCGCCTGCCACAAATCTCCGCGGCCCTCCCTAAGTGAGGCGCCAAATGATGAAGGTGCAGAGCACCACCTGGCAAGACGGAGGCATGTGGCGAAATCTACTCACGCTTCGGCGGGTTCGAGTGCCTCCTGCCCGAACCACATACGTCCTAAACATTACGCTGGCAATCAGACCTGGCAATCAGACTTCACCTGCAAAACTGACAAGAAACCCAAAACCTGAGCCCAAGACATGGGTCAACACCCAAGAATAGACATGCTGCCAGCCTTGACATGCAGCCTGGAACTTGCAGGCATCCCAAAAAGAAGCAGGCAACACACCGCCGAAGTTGGCGCCCGCCGAGGACTTGAAGGGATCAAGCCTTGTGGCCCGGTAGAAGGAAAGGCTGAAGGGAAGCAATCCGTGAAGACGGCGACGACGGAAGAGCTCAGGGCAGATTTGACCATTGAAAAGAGTGGACCCCACGAAAAAAAAAAACATGAAGGTTGCCAGGCCCCCAAACCGCCTTGAGCACAACAGATGCATCTCCAGAAGAATGCGACCAGCATGCATCAACAGCTCGCCGAAAGCATCTGCGGCGCAGAAGGCCGTGAACCAGGAGACAACAGAGCACCACGCCTGGCGATGCCCAGCTGCAGTTTGGAAGGCTGAATGGGGAGGCACTTCACTTGTTCTACGACAAGGGTGTGGAGCCGAGCCGTGTAGCTGTGTAGCTTCTTGCAGTTTGAGACTTGTAATTCCGGAACATCTGCGACAGCATAGAACTTAGATCACCTCGCGGGACTCGTCGTCCACACCTCTGCGAAGCAACACCACCGGCCCCTGAGCAGCTCGCGGAGACGTCAAGTCTTGCTGAGCGTGGTTCTAAAATGGTGACTTTTTGGGGCACTGAGGCGACGCTTTTCTCTGTGAGGTTCCAAGGATGCAACAGCGCCCGATCCTGTGCACCCCAACCTTACGGCCCGTTGGCGGACAATGCTGGGCTCCCGGCTACGATCCAAACCACCACATAGCCTTTGCTACACGCACTTCGGGCAACGTGCGACAAGGCTTCCCGAAACTCGAGCAGTGTCTGGCTCTGCATCAGCACCCAGTTTGTAGATAGTAAACTCCGAAGCCACGCAAAACAGGCTCGATGCTAAAACTCAGTCTTTCAGTTCGCCCTCGAGTTCAGATCTAAGTCTCTATCTCTAGACACTTAGCTGGTTTTGATCTCGCCGAGGGGCGGGTCCAGGTCAGTGCCACCCCGGCAGCACCGCCGTAGCTCGCTCCGGCCTGGAGAGGGATTGAAAACGGGCCTGTGTTGCTGCAAGAGCTGTACACCGTACCCCATCAATGTCCCGACACGAAAACGTCCTATGGCACTTCCAACCTTACTCACCACGTTTGATCTGATCGAGGGTACAGGGATGTGCCCGGACTTGGAGAGGCAGCTGCACTACACCTTTGGGCGAACACACGATTCTGGCGCGCTGAGGTTCATGAGCCGAGCTTTACGGTGGCTGCGTTTGGCATCCAGACGCAGCCTATCGCCCTTGTTTGCAAAAAGAACGTCACCTGCGTCTCCTCTGGATGAATTTAGCCTGCAATTTTGGCGGCGTCAGAGCCTGAATACATCGGTATTCATCCTGGCATCGACTCTCACCCAATTGCAGCTGCCCGCACTCCGAGCCGCCCGCGATCAGAATCCAGGCCGACTTGGTTGACATGAAAAGAAGCCTTGCACCCACAAGACGCGGTGGAGTCTTGCCCAGGTGGGCTTGGCATCATGCAAACTAAACCTCACTCTGTCTTGTGCTCCTGCCGCCTGGCGGCAAAGGCGTCTCCGTCCTTAACCCTATTTCTTCAAGCATTGTAAGGGCATCGCATGCTGATGAAAATGGCCACCGCCGACTGGAGAGTGGACCATGCCAGCCGTTTGACCTGAGTGAAACACAAACAGCATCCGCAAGTTCAGAAGCGACACCTCAGACATGTCTTTGAATGCAACCAGCCATATGCACAAGTGCTTTGGGCTGCCGGCATTTACATCTTGGCTATTGAGCAGGTACAACATCATCCTTGACAGCCACCGTGCGTCACGCGGCAGACATGTGCAACCACTTCGTCTTGGCTAGCAAGGCGCGCTTGTGTGCAAGCAGGCCGCCGAAGTGAGACGTGATGCGTACCATCGACTCTCAAACTAAAATCTTGGAGACCATGGCTCCGCTTCACACGTCATGTCTCCTCAAAGCCCGAGAGAACTTTCGATCTCCAAGCCTCAGAAGAAACCGGGCCCGCGGCAAGAAGAAAGTGAATTCTGCAATAAGAAGCAGCGACGAGGCGGTGCTGGCTGAGGCCTGCCGAGCCGTGGTTGCAAAAATCCTGTGGAATTCTCGGAGATTCAAGGGCCGCGGCCCGAAAACCGCCCCACACACCCCCACTCAGAAGTTCCGGGCCTGTTGCGATTGCAATGCCGACTGGAGGTTCGTCCTTTGGCAGGTCGCGACAGCTGGCATCAGCCGACATTGGAAAGCTCTCCCGTCGCCGAGGTGCCAGGTGTCCACTTGGTGCGCTTCGGCAGAGAGGATGGCCTCGCATCTGGGGGCCCGGTGCTTTCGGGGTTCTGCATCCTGGACTGGGCCTGACAATAGGGCTGAAGGTCGTAAGCACGTGCGATCAAGCACTGCGAAAACTTGTGGCGACGGCCAACTCCTACTTCTGAGGGGTGCCGTGCAGTGACAAAAAAGCGAATCGCTCAGAATTCCGCTCGCGAGACTTCTGCGATGGGAAGAAAATCGTGGAAGGCCATCTGCACACGCCCTTTCTTGTGCCCCTCGACCCAAAAAATGACAATTGCTGCGTGTACAGCATTCCACATTTGCCTCAAAAACGGTGGTTTGAAGACTTGCACCAAATTAACAGCATCCAAGATGTGCTGACTCCTTCCAGTCTGACCCACACAGCCACCCCAACGGCAGCATGCTGCGGCCGTCCTCTGCTGCTTAGATTTTCTGTGGGACCCACTTCTGTCGACCTGTCACCTGGTAAGATTTGCAGTGGCATGTCAGGACTTCAGGAAAATGCTTTTTTGTTGCGGCACGAGGCTCTTCTTGCACAAGCGAATCACAAGACCTACTTGGCAATGCATGTGATTGCACCACACTCCCGTTCGCGAGGAGGTCATGACGGCCATCACTGCCATCATGCTGTGGCATTCATTGTGCTACTGAGCTTCAGGTTTGCAGCGGATGTCCTACTAGCAGTTACGCAGTTACATTCGTTCCAAAGGTTTGACACGCGGTTGTGAAGAATGTCACAGCTCGGTGTGCAGAGACTGTGGCCTCGTGTAACCATGTGGGAAGAGCCCCTCATGTCCTTACGGCATGAACAAGGCACGACACTTTGATTGACCAAGCGGCTAGATACGGGAACGACAAAGCAAATAAGTTGCCTCCCCTTCTCGTCAGCAGAACCGACGGAGATTGCAGTAAACTACAAGATGGTGAGGATCGTGCTTTTCGTAACTACCAATCAAGTCAACATAAGCCTCCAGAAACCATTTGGGGCTGCAGTGCGCGTAAGGGAGCCTCAGGTTCATCCATCTATGGCACCTATATGCCAGGCAGCCCGGACTGCCTACGAAGTGTTTGGGACACAACAAAACAAGCCACAAGCACGCATCCTCTTGCATGCTGACTGCCCCGATCCCCAGCTTTTTTTTTTGCACTGAAAAAATCTGCACTGTCGTGCATAACACGGCATCCCACTCTGCAGCCCGAAATCAACCTGAAAGCTGAACCCATACCTCTAGCGTTAAACCTCCGCAGCCAAGCCTTTGCAATGGTCGGCGACACCTTGGGTTCACCGAAAACAGCCTTCCGTGGTGCTGTGGGCGAGGGGCAACTGGAGAACTGAGTAGCAAGTAGCGTCGGTCTCTTGCCTTGCCTGCCATGGATTGAGAACTTGCCAAACTCCAAGAGTACCAAAGTCGACCACGAACACCCTCCGAAACCCCGAACTGAAAGCCTCCCACCATTTAGCAAATGGGCGGCCTTTGGTGCTTGCTGCGCATCTCCATCTGGAAGCCGGGGGTGGTCAGAGAAAGGCGGCATTGATGACTTGAAGCAGGGGTTTCGACAAGTATGGCTTGGGGCCTTACGTCCGGGCCGTTGAATTCAGCATGTTGGGTGGTGCTGCAGTCAGGTTGTTCCGAAACCTGCACTACTGCAGGCATGCAACATCCAACAAAAACCAAGACGCCCTCCCTCAACCTCTTGACTGCGGTTTGCCCTAAACCACACATCGAACGGGTGGAACACTAGGCAGTCCGAAGCTAAATGCTCAAAGCCTAGCAGCCCCGGCTCGGGTTGGGCATCACGTTTGCGCTTCCTGGTGTTTTGGCGTTTTGGCGAAGGCGAATGAGTCGGCTCAAGACGTCGCGCTCAGTGAGGTCCGGACGAGCATCCAGCTCCAACGCCGCCTCCTGGCTCTAAGGACAGCTTGGCCCTCTTAGCCGTGACGAGGACGTGCTGGTGACAGTGCTTACTGCCATACCGAGGACTTCATGTGGCTTGTTGCAGATTGCTGTTCGAGTTTTTGCTGGCTCACAGCCAACCCCTCCTAGCAAAGAATGCACCGTGCCCAGTGTCCAGGAGAACTAAGTCTGCCACAAACAACCCTCCATCGACATGCAGCCGCGAGAAGCACATGTGCACCTTTGAAGTAAAGAAACCTAGATTCAGCAGTCATGAATACAATCACGACTTACAAATTTTATCTACCTCAGCTGAGCTACCTAAACACAATGTCCTCGTGTTCGCGCCGTATCCACGGTTTGAGGCTCGCCCGACCCTCCTCCAGGTGTACCTGCGCACGGCGTCTCAAGCTCAGGTGATCTGTCAACACGTGGGGATTTATGGGCTTCGCTTGGTCCCCATCCGAGCCCCACCTATATCTGTCCAAGCACATACCAAACCCACAGCAACTTAAGTCACGATCCCATGGCCAAATTGATATGTTTAACTACATTCTTCAAGACAGACACTTTTCTCCCGGGATGTCTTGCAATACCCGAAAGTCTAAAGTGTTTTGCGTCTCGCACTCAACGAGTTCGAAGCCCTGCCAAGTGCATCAACTGGCAAAACCCAAAAACGGAGCCCCGTCTGCTTCAAGAACGACTCAAGAAGGCCTGTCCGCCCGGGCCCACGACGGCGTGACCTGCAACGCGAGATGCCGGGAGACAGGTTATAGACTGGATAGGGATAGGAATGATAAAAAGAAGATTTGGGATTGGTAGGTCGAACGCATGCAAATATCACTGGTCGCAGCGTGCATCTGGAGAAGCAGCTTCAGGCTTCGAGTGCTCAAGTTGCCTGGAGGTTCTTGAATCCATGGCAAACCCCAAGAACAAACACATGAAATGCTGGGAGATGCTGAAGGTTCTCCAAGATACGGTATGCGCATCAAGCAGAGAGCTCAACAAAACCGAGTTCGTCGCTTCGCTGGTTATCTTCCTAAGTCCAACAGCACAGATGGAAATCTAGTGGCCTCAAAGCTGTGGACCCTGCCTGTTGCGTGACGGATTCCCCACCAGAGCCTTGGAGAGCGCTTGAGCAAATTGGAATGGTTTCATGAAAGGCAGAATAATCTGAAACCCCGCAGCGACGGACAGAGGTGTGTTTGGGCTCGGCCTCTGAATTTCAGAGCGTCCGAAAAACCGGGCTCGGGCCCGGGCAATATGGATGAACCTTGGCACGTTCAAGACTTCCTAGAAATGTCTGAAGACAACGTTACAAGTTGAAAGGGACCTGTCTCTTAAATCTTAGATCGTGCCAAAAGAGTCCACCCGCCAACAAAGATCGATGCGAAACATGGCACTCAGCCGAAAGCACTAGATCCCCAAAGCGAAGGATTGAAATCAAGGTGTCTGGAAGGATTCAAAGCCCTGCAGGGCACGAATCGAAGCCTCGAAGTCACACCCCCTGATCACGTCTCGCACTTCTTGCCCAAGCCCAAGCTCCGTGAAAGTGCTGCCCGTTTGTTCCCCAAGCAGTGTGGTAGCGCTGTGGGGTTCTTACGCCCAGCAGGGCGAATTGGAGGCTGGGCGGCTCGTCTCCCAAACCATCCAAAATTCCGGTGCCATCGCCACAGCTACCGCCACCGCCACCAGTGTCTATATTGGTACAAGTAGTCTACCCCACATCTGCACTCTACAGTCATTGATGGCTCACACCAATCTTCGCACATCGTCCAATGTCGAACCGTGTGTAAAAGGATACTACCACAGGAACGAAGCCGGAGACCTAGGACGACGCAGGTAAAGCTAGCAAGGGCGCGCCATGTGCACTTATCACACTAATTCCAGAAACCTGTTGCCCGAGCCCCTTGCACCAAATCTTGATCATGAGGTCTGGAGACCTGGCTTGACCCGCATCGGTCGGGGGCCTTAGGCTGTGCCTCAACCCTTCTCCCGTTCGAAGCGAATGGCCGTGGCCGTTGTTCGCGAAAGGCCAAACAGCCGAAGGCTTGTGCAAATGCTTCAGGCGTCCGCGCTGTGAGGGGCATCGAGGGGTCAGGACAGACAGCTCCCAGGACGTGCCTCCACCCAATATGGAGCCTGGTGAATTGTCCAAACAATCGGACAGCGGAACGCCGCTCTTGAGCCGAGATCAGCACAGCCGGTGCAATCCATGCAGATCACTGAAGTACCGAGTACCTTCGTCGCCGTCAACGTCATCATCACCGACAACCAGGACACCATATTCATCGTCGTTGTCTTCGTCATCGCCGTTGCGATCATCATCAGCAGCGGCATCGCGATGATCAGCGTCGTCCCCATCACAGGCCCATCACCATCACCAACATCAGCATCAGTATCCGCATCGGCATCAGCATCAGCATCAGCATCATCGCAACCGTCATCTCGATGATCATCACTATCAGTATCATAGTTTAATCGTGTTCCTCTTCCTCCTGCCATTATTGGCGGTCTTCTTGTTGTACGTGCTATTCATGTTGTTGACTTTGTTGTCCATCTTGATCTTCTTCATCATCACAGCAACCACCATGCAACTCAACAGCTATCATCGTCGTCACCATCATCGTTGCTGGGGTCGCGGTTGTCGAGTAGCGGGTCAAGATCAGATCAGACTCTGATTTCGCAATGGGTTTTGTACTGTGCCGTACAGATAATCAAAGAAGATGAATGACTGTGGCAAGCAGTGAAGCCACTGCACTGCTCACGGGACAACAGCAGTGCGGCATGCAAAGACCCTCTGTTTTGCTCTTCAACTGGAGCCTTCCCCGAAGCATCAAATGTTTCTGTGTCTGGTTTCAATCCGTTTGGGAACAATTGGAAAGTCGCCCCGGCGGTAAGGGACCAGAGCACGGCAGCCGCGAGGACTCCGGACGGACGGACAGTGGCGCTGTACAGCCAAGATCCAGGGCATGCCAAACAAATTAGAAGAATCTCCTGATCTCCTGAGCTGTGACAGTTGGAGGTGCCAGCTGCGGTCTCGCCTTGTCACAGCACAAGAGTGGAGGCTTACGGCTTGTCTTGGCGGCTTCCCCACATCCGCTGCGATGGCTGCAGCTGCGGAAGACTACGCGTCTTGTCTCTGAACACTTGGTCCGGATCGGCCCCAAGGCAGTGCTGGCAGTACTGCGCAGGTTTCTTGCAAGCAGCTTCTGCCACGGATCAAGTCTTGAAAAAGGCATCCCTTCTGGCATCTCTACCCATCTACGTCATAGTCGATACAGGGCTCATGCCCTCGCCCATGCGCTTCCCTTCCCAGCCTCTGACTGGCATGGGAAGCCGCTCGAGGGCTTGGCCATCCCATCCCCGCAAGTCGGAGAGGGCTTTCTGGGGCCCAAGGGGCCCAAAAGGCCGGAGCACCCTCTTCGAGGGGGCCCTGGGCCCCACCATAAATCTTATCCGAGACGAACGACATTCACGCTACTCGCTCGTCTCAGAGCTCCTGACGTCGTGGCTTCGTTGCCAGAAGCCCGGAAGTGTCCTGAGCCACGGCGACTGGCGGAAGCTAAGACAAACCTCAAGGCAACGACTGGAGCTTCAGCTCCCACTGACCCCGTCCGCCATCTCTTTCAACGTCAGTGGACTGACGATCATGCAGATGCCGCAAACCAAACCCCGACCCAAACCACCCGCGGTACAGCTGTGAGCTGCGTCTGAGACGAAGGGTTGGGATCTATGTTCTTGGAACGTTGGGGCTTTCTGGTTGAGACTCTTCCATACTCCGTTGCAGGTCATAAGCAAGTTGCAGATTGCACGTGTGCAAGATGGGGTACTGTCTGCAAGCAAGAAGTCCACATTTGTTAGCCCAGGGATCGCAAAAAGGCTGCACGAGAGCGCTGTCGCCAACGTCACACAGGACGTTCGAGGCACCCAAATGCAGCTGTGCGTAGGACAGCCTCAGAAAGAAGTGGATCATGAATACAAGACTGAAAGATTTAAGCTTCAGCAAAAGAAACCTTGGTTGACGAAGTTTTGGCCTCTGTCATGATGACCACATGGTAACATGAAGGCTGAATGCGTCCCCCGTACGCAAAAAGTCGGGGCCCCTGGCAGAAGTTCTAGCAGAATTATCGACAAAGTCGCTCCAAAGTTCCAAAGGTTGTGGCAGGTATACATGTTTTCCGCATCCTCGTGAAACGGCAGCCATCCCTCCTCGCGTCTGACTATTTGTTGCTTGCTCGATCGCAGGGAAGAGGATCTATGGGGTTTACGACCGTTTGGTTGCAGAAGGGATTGGGAACGGCGATCATACGTTGACATGTTTCGGGCTGATCTCTTCTACAGCAACACCTGGCGACCTGCGGAATGCCATCTTGGAGCACATCCGTCTGCCGTCAAGCCAAATTCGGAGATACTGCTTAGAATTAGGCTTCAACTTCAGCCATGCCGCCAGAAACAATATCCGATTAAAAACTGCATGCCGAAAGACCCTGAGTCTTACTCATCTGACAAAGGCATCTTCAACCTCAGAGTCACCCTTGAACCCCTAAATCAGATACCCTTCCGAACCCCAACGCATGTTGATGCGGAACCCGAGCCTTTCAACCAGACTACGGCTTGGGCTGGACTCTGGCAACGGCACCACGAACCAAAAAGGCTGGAATTTCCAAAGCCCGGGCACCTTCCTCGAATTCCGCAACTGCCGTGCACTCGCCCTGGCATGGGTTATGCCCTATAATTACTTGTCGAACTCAACATATGCGAACCAAGGTGTGCAAAAACACAACTCTGCGCAGTCATTGATAATGTCATCAGTGCTGCCATCACCATCATCGTCAATCGCAGCAGCTTCAGCATCAGCACCTGTCCCATACGTGTTTCCACTCCATTCTTCATCTCTTTCATGCCGATCATCATTCCAATTAATTGTCCTTCATTCCATAGGATCGTACCTGTGCCTCGATGTTTGTCCAGCATGTGCTTCAACTCAGCTGTTGCAATGGCAACTAGCATGTCGGGGTTTTCTCTCGGGCATCATCATCATCAGCAGCAGCAGCAGCATCAGTGTTTTCGTCGTCGTCATCATCATCACCAACATGAACAACAACATCATCATCATCAACATCATCATCATCATGATCGCGTCGTCGTAACCACGCCCTGATCTTCATCCTGATCGTCACCATCGTCCTGTATCCGGCAGCAGCAGCAGCAGTCGCCGACACACCCAAATGCTTAACCCAGGCTAAAATCTTTCAATGATCACAACTAGCCGCAATTAGTTCGCTGCTTTAGTGGCTCATCGGGGCTGCTGCGAACCCGCAATGGAATGAATCGTGACACCAAGCCCATTCTAGCAACTGTACAGGCACAACACTTTCAACAATGAACAGGCAGCTTCAGCGGCACTTGTTGCCTTCAGTGCCGCCTCTTCCGCGGGGAAAGGCATTGAGTAGTCCTCGTGAGGCTTGTCATGACAGGCTTTGGACGGTTGCACTTGCCGCGGCTGCTGTGTCTCGCTGCGCTTCGGGTTTCAGGTCTGGTGTCAAAGATCAGTGATCCCGAGAATACGACCTATCTTGATAAAAGAACACCAGCGAGCCCTCAACAAAATTTAGACGAGTGGTGCTGAGCCCCAAATGCAGCTCCGGTGCACCAACGTATCATACTTCCCACGCTGCCATGGTGGCCGCACACCATTCCTGCGCCGGGCAGGGAGGGCAACAGAAGGGCTTTCAGCGGGTCAGTGTCGACGTCCGAAGCCCGTGCATGTTCAGACTGACGGTCTCCTCGCAGCGTTGAGGTTGCAGAGCGTGGTGTGGATGATGCTCCGCAAGGCTTCCTTCGTGAACCAGGCCTTGAGAGAAGAAGCGGCGAGAAGATCATGCGAAGCGCCTGGCATCGCCTGGCCCCCGGGCCTGGTGCGACGTGACCACCACGTTGTTGAAGCCGATGAGCGTCATCAGATCGTCGCTCTGCATCTGAGGCCCGGGAAGGGCAGCCACGCCATGCTTCGATAGGATGTTCGAGTCAGGACATGTGGCTAGGAATTGCAGGGTTCTTTCTTGCGTTCGTCGCACCTTCATGGCATCAGGCTGATGCTCTCTCCCTTTCCAAATCGCCAAGCGTCGGACGAGAGTCGCAGCTGGAGCTGACCTTCCTACGAAAGCACCTTTGAAGCCGAGGAACGACTTTATTGCTCCAATCCCGGTGAAAGTACTCGCCTTCCTGCAAAGGGGAGCGCGCAAGTCTTCCATCGAATGAGCAGCCTGCTCTGCTTTGGCTTGAGCCCTCACTCCCTCCAACCTTCAGCCTACACTCTCAAGCCTTGCCCACAGACCCCTGCACACTCTGTCCCACCCACCTCAGCCACTACATCCAGGCCAGCTCCGCCAATGATGCCTCAGATATTCTCACAGCTGGAAGTATGAGAGACTGTGGCCAAAAGCCTTGCTGTAAATTGGAGCATAGTCTGTGTCGAGTGCCCAGCGATGGCCACAGCAGGCGAGAGCTACTCGCAGCTCTAGCGCTTACTCAGCTTCTCAAGTTCCATACCGCAACTAGGAACCGAGAAAGACTTTCGTTCGCCCTGCCTTGTCGGAGGCCGTCGATGAGAGCTCTCGTGTCAATCAGCCCACCGCGAGAGACGTTCACCAGAATCACACCTTCACAGCTATAGATTGGTGACCTAAGCTTTCTTTCAGCCTCGGGCAAGGACTTCCTCTAAGTTTTGCTTGGCCTGCCCCCAATGGCCGTGCGACACAACTTCTCAGCAATTGGGGAGCCCCAAGCCCGAACCCCAAATTCTCCTGCAGACCTCAGCAGCCTGACAAGCCATAATGTCTTTTCTCCAAAACCCGAGAGAACCAACAGAGAAACCTGAGCGGGCCCCCCGGACATCTGATGGACTTCCTCCTAAAGCCACCCGGAGCCCAGGCAAGACCTCGCTTCATCTTGGCAATGGCGTCGGCATTGATAAGCTTGGCCTCGGCTTGTTTGATAAACATCCTGGCCTCTCACTTGCAATTGCTCAGCGTTCGCCTTGGGCCTCCTACGGCGCTTGAAATCTGAACCTCAGCCGACCCTGGGCCCTGAGGCCCTGAGGTGTCAAGGGGCAAGCCTCTGCCCGCCAATGTCTGGGAAGCGCACTGTCTCGCGCAACAGCGGCACGTGCAAGCAGATGATGTCGCTCGCTCGGAGTAGCTCGTCCAAGGACCTCATCAACAGCAAGCCCCCATGCTCACAATGAACCTGGCCCTCGAAAGTCCTCTCAGAGAGGCCCGGCGTCTGCTCTTCCTGGACCTAGAACCTTTTCAATCCGATGCCAAGCCGCACATAGGGAATGCCGAGGCCAGCCGGCGGCGCGTCACGAACCAGCTCGTTCCTGGCATGGGCTGCCGGGCTTCACTAAGTCTTGCGTTCCTCTTCCGAAGTCAGGCAAATCAAGACCAACTCAACGCAAGCTACACATCTGAGGTCGGAAGCAGTTGATGATGTCTCCAACCCTCGCAACCAGCTGCTATGGAACCTTTTGTAGTGGCAGAAGCATCGACACCAAAAACTGTGCCAAGCTTCTCTTCGATGTCATGCGCAATGACGTCGCACCGGTAACCTGGGATGTCAGCCCCGATCGTCTCAAGAGACTCACTCGCAAGTTCCCAGTCCCAAGCCCAGGCCAAGCCGCCATTCTTGAAGATTCGAGCGGCCACACACCCTGTGCGTCCGGTGCCGATGATGCCGACCTGGATTCGGTGAACAGGGGGCCGTTGCGGAAGCTTTTGTATCCAGCGTTGCCTAATCCCACAGCCCTTGCCTTCTTGCCCACCATGTCAAAGCCGAGGAGGCCGTTCAGGGTGAAGTTCGAGCGCCGGGTGCCCTCTGTGGCCTCTCGTTTTAAGCCCTGCTGGAGGCAAAGGGTGTTCAGCCCAATGATTTCTACGAAGCTGGCCGATGATTTGGACTTTGGCCGTATGCCGGCGTTTCAGTTGGTTGAGCTGTTGCGGCTGTCTGAAAGTCTAGAAGCAAAGCCAGAGAGAGAGAGAGAGAGAGAGAGATAGAAAAAAAAGAAAGAGAGAGAGAGATAGACAGCCCGAGAGCGAGAGCTTGCGGCTCATTCCGACAGCGCCTGCGGGATGCTGCGGTTCACCGATGTAGCCAGGGCCACGGCATGCTCGCCGGAGCCGAAGGCCGAGTACGCAGGGACCCTGCAGCGCCGGCGGCTTTGCAAAGATGGAAACAAGCCTAGCGAGCGGCCGCTCACGGCCTTGCGATAGAGAGGCCCAGCTCGTCTGCCGTCTCCTCTGCTCGGAGGCAGGTTCGTGCAGCTGCATTCTGAGCCGAGCCCTACCCTAACCTACCGGAAAGGGGTTCCAATCGACAGACGCTCCGGTGCAGGCACCCCTCTATCGGGAACCGTCGCGTCAGAATACGAAGTTCGAGCTTCACTGATGTGTTTCGTGGCTGATGAATTAGTGATGTCACGCCCTCCCCGAGCCGCTCCACGTCCACGTTGTTGAATCCGCCACATCGCAGTGCGACCATCTTGACCCCAAACTCCTTGTAGCTTGGTTGACTTATGCTAAGCTGAACATCAGCCTCGGGAGGCCCATATGGCCTTTGTGAGCTATCAAATGTGGCCACAGTGATCTTTGGACTGGAGCACTGGGTACCACGAGATGGGGTTTCGTTACTGTTTCGTTGCATCCCAACTGATGCAACCAGAGAGGGTTGGTGAAACTGCTTTTTTCGTGCCAGCTTCGTTGCGTCCAAACTGGCGCTCGGGATATTCATAATTGCCACGTTGCGCCCAAGCTGAAGCTCTCAAAAAGCGGCTATCACAACTGACGCTGTAGGGAAAAACAGCTTGGCACGACGAGATTTACGTTACGGTTTAGTTGCGTCTAAGCTGGTGAACCCAAAAAGCGTTTAGTAACACTGGAGTTTCGTGACAGCTCCGCTGCGTCCCAGCTAGATCACACAAACACAGCGCGCCTGCAGCCTCATGAACTGACACTGACACTCTGCTACCCCCAGCAAGACTCTCCCAGCGCCACTCAAACAGCACCTCGGACAATGAACACTACAGATCTAGTGGTTTTGTCAAAGAAGGGCCACAATGCCTAGGTCCAACTCCGGGCCTTCAGTGTGGCCAGGATCTCGGCAGAACAGTCGTCATGGACCTAACTGCCGTCAGCGCACTCGAATTGGTCAAAGCTCGTTTCTCAACTCTTGAAATACTTGAAGGGGCCCTGCCCCTCTGCCCGTGTCCAGTCTAGAACCCGGCCACGGGCTCCGAATCTCCGTCTTTTCGCTTCCCTGGAACCAACAGCCGAGCGAATCTCACCGACTTTGCAAGCCCAGGCACGAAGACGCAAACCTGGGCCAGGGGAGGGTGGGTCATCGTGAAGACCACGTCTGTCACTCGCCGCTCTGTCTCCACTTTTCACAGCATCGCCCAATTTGAAGAAGGGTTTCTCAGACACTCCGGGCCCTCCCACCGCATCGGCGCCCTTCGCCTGCTCGACTGTCTCAGGGCACAGGGCGGCCTCACGGTGGCCAAACGGCGGAAGAGTTTACAGGCCCCACCTCGCCTTTCGAACCCAATCCAGGGTGTTGAAAACCAGCTTGAGCTTTCGGCTTAGAGAGGGTTCGCTTGGCTCCTGCCGTCTGCCCAGGGGACGTCCGAAATGCCTGTTACGACTGAGCGGCTGCTCCTGCTTCTTCAAGTTTCAGGGTTGTAGACTTGTAGGGTGGGACCACATCTTCATGGTGTAGGCTAGTGTACTTGCGTCGTACCCCTTCAATTCGCGCGTTGGAAACCAAAACCTGCACTCATGAAGGGATTCGACTGGGCTTCCCAACCGCGTCGATGGCTTACATGTCTCGGCACGCAGAACCGTTCTTCTGGGTCGGGTCCGGGACCTTGAAGAACTGGAAAGTAATGTTCGCATCAAACTCCTGTGCGAGGGCACTTCGCATCCGGAATCACAACGAGCACCAAGAAAAGAAAACAAGTGCGAGGCTCCAAATCCCTCAGCCCTGAGCGAGTCAGGTTTTTGGGAAACCGGCCTCTTGAAAGAAAATCTGAAGAAGAGCTGCACACTTGCACAGGCTGCAAGACAGATCTCCTCGCTCATCTTCTCGTAAACCTCCTTGTCGTGTGGCATTGCGGAGTAGAAAGCCACCTGGGAGGGCTTGCTTTTCTCATCTCTGCCGCAACAAATCTGGGGTTGGATTTCTGATATGATTCTCTTCCGCCTTAGTTTCAATACACTCCTCTGTGCAACGACAAAACAAATTTCGCAGGAAGTACTGTAAGATTCCTAAACCCAGATACAAGCCTGCAATGCTCTGGAGCTGTCAACTAGCCATGGCTTCTACCAACACATGTACATACGTGCGCCCGCACATGCGTACGAGCTTAGAGACGCGTACACGCATCCGATTACCAAGCTGCATCGACTTGTCTGTCTGGCTGTCTGCCTACCTCTCTATCGATCGCTCTCATCCAAAACGAGATGTTTCCCTGGAAGGGACAGCTCACCCAGAAGGCCCATCTGTCAAGGCCACGCGAAAGGGGCGCGAGTGTGCGTTCTCCAAGGCCGGCAGGTCTTTCTCCTGCAACGGGCTTCGCTGGCTTCGCTGGCTTCGTCTTCTCTCGCGAGGCGCAGGTCCTTGAGCTCTGGACCAGGTGCCGGAAGCTCCTTCCTGTCGCGGGAGCAGATGCGAGCTTTTGGGGCCTTACGGGCTGCGGCTGACCTACGCAAGTAAACGCAAGTGCTCTAGACCGTTCGAGCAGAACCTCCCCAGCTCCACACACGGATCCTAAATCTTCAACACTGATGGCGGCGAGGCACATGAAGGCCATTCGCTGGCTCCGCTCTTGATGACGGGTTGCCGCGTACCCACCTCTCACAGCGACGTTCACACTTGCGTGGAGGCGTATGCCTGGGGATTGTATTTCTTAATTCCCCCTGCGCGAGTGCGACGAGAGCCCTGAGAGTCTGTAGTGTGCAATTCGTCTAAACTCGAATCTCTGAATTTCGCATCCTCGGAGAGGGGCAGTAGGGGACCTCAACAGCGGGCCTCACGAGTAAGCAGGTTACGTCTTGCACATAACACGCGGCTTGACCTTGCAAGGGCACAAAGCCCTGCCCATCGACCCGCCTTTGGCGTTGTCCTTGGGCGCCTCTGGTGGAAGACAGACCTCGGAGCGAATCGAAAAACTGATCTTCGCCGGGCTCTAACAGCGTCAGCTCACATGCTGGGGCGGTTGAGTGCTTGGGCGGTTGGCCCGCATCCCAGGCTGCCTCTGAGGCTTAAAGCAAAAACCCTGAACCGTTCAGTGAAGCTCATCAGGGTCAGCAGGCCCTGCAGTGCTGCCACAACCCAGGCAGCTCTTCACCCTCAACACATCTCCACGCCACGGCACACCAGTTCCGAAAACACAAAGCCGAATCTTCAGGTCGGGCCCCAGGAAACTCGAACCCTCTGTCTTTGCAGCGCCGCAGTGTCCAGCACTCCATTCTGCTTCGGCGGCCCCGTGCCCTCCCGAACACCTGCGGCATTGGCGTGTCGGGAACTATCAACCGCGCTGATCTTGCTGATGCGTGAATACCCTCACTGCTTGCTATGTCAAGCAATCTGATACATCTACCGTCGCCAAAGTCTTCGTTGTACAGCCACCATGACGACAACGACGGCGACGACTGCGACTCCAACGCAGTCCTAATCACTAGAACTGCGACTGCCACGTGCGACTGACACTGCCACTGCAACTGCCACTGCTATTGCTGCTGTTACTGCTACTACGACGACGACAACGACTACCATCACAACCTCTGCGACCAGCACCACAACCACGGCGACTGCAACTGCCACTGCCACTAGCACTAGCAATGGCACTACGACTGCGGCTATGATGCAACTACGGCAAATCTTCTAAGCCGACGACGACGACTACTACTGCTGCTGCTGCTGCTGCTCCTACTACTACTACTACTACTACTACTACGACTACTACTGCTACTACTACTACTACTACTACGACTACTCTGTCAGCACCAACAGCTGTTGATTGCTCTCCTGGATACAAGACCTGCCGGCATGCGTTCTTCAAGGACCAATTGACGAATGGCAATCGAGAGATCCAGCAGCAATGAGTACCAGTGGATAAACGACAACGGCCTACCTACTCATCATTGCAGCCGCTGAAGACACTGCACAAATCTTGCAGCCGCGCTGCACGGAAATTCTAGAATCTAGAGCAGGACCGCAACGCACATGCAGGAACCACGTCTTTAAGAAAGACAGCTGTTCCAACACTCTGACTGAAACCTCTCCAATAGCAGAAAACCAGTAACATCCGAAACGGTCTGGCAAACAAAAGCGCTTAAACCTCAAGGCACCCTGCATGCTCTTCAGGGTGGTGTCGGAGATGGTCTTCCTTGGCGGATCTTGGCTGTACTTCCATGGGTTTTGACTGGCTTGGGCTGAGGGTCAGCCGTTGACTGGCTTTGGGTTGGCCTCCAAATAAAAGTATTTCGTTGCACTGACCCTCCAAACTTGAAGAACGCAGCCCATAGCCCCAAAGCTTACTGTAAACACCACCGACCCGTGTTCGTCCGACGCCTCAGACAAGTTTCAGCGCCTCCTTGGTGAAGAACGCCAAATGCCTTCGGCTGAAGAATCTGAATCTTAATGAGGCCCTGCCTTGCCTCAAGGCATAATAAAGGCACATTGTAGCCTGCAGCATGAATGAAGCCTAGACGGATCCCGGCACGGTTGGAGTGGATCCGGCAAAGCCCGAAACCCTGAACACCGAAAGCCCCGAAAGGGTGGTGACCCCTTGCAGGTTAAACCACAGCAGAGCTGGAGCTAGGCCTAACGGACCTCTGCTGCGTCAGCGCCTACAGCAACAGCGTCTCTGTCTTGCAAGCCGTTGCAGCCAAGGAACGGGGTCAGGATTACCTTGGCAGAGGCCAACAAAATGGCGTGTTCATGTGGTGTGTCGGAGCCTGGTTTAGAGTACAGTAAGGGATGTCGATGTGAAGCATTGAATTCTTTCAGGGCTGGCTCTGTCGCGGTTTCGGCTTCAAGCAGCACGCGAGTTTGAGGTTAAAATCTTTGCAAAGAGTACAAGCCGCGGCGGAGCCGAGTCGTCTTGAACCCCAATGTGCGACATGGCCTTCCGCCTGAACTGTCAAAGCATGGATAACAGCGGCTTAGCCAAGACGGTGTCCAAGCCACGTTGGGCATACGAACCAGCGTTGCTATGTTGTCGTCCGTGATGCAGCTGGTCGAGAAATCCCTGTGCAAACCCCGAAGGGCGAAGCGTCAGCGCAATGCCACTGCGTTTGGTCTGCCTACCGACCGGAATCTTCGAAGAGCCACATTACCATACAGTCTGACGATCGAACCACCACCTGCGAAAAAGCCTGAAACACTTCACCGTCTCTGCCTGAAGAAGTAGGGAGCCTCTCCTTCGACGACGTCCATTGCAGCTCCCGCGATGGTGCCATCCTCGCTAAAGGCGCTTGGGCAAGTAAAACTCAAAGCCCTCCATTGCAACGTGGCCTTCAGACCCTGGATGAGTGCGGCCGTGTCGATGAGTCCGCCGCGGGAGGTGTTCACGATCATGATGCCTTTCTTCCTTGGAGAGAGAGAAGACACAGCAACAGTTCAGGGCAGGTTGAGACTCGGGAAACTTTGTGAGAGCTCACTTCAGGTAGCCGCTGCTGTCATGTCTGGCCCAGCCACATGATCTTCAGCTTCTCCGCATTGATCATGTGCTTCGTGGACGGCAACAGGGGTGCCTCCGTCTCACACGGGCGGCGAGAGACCAGAGAGGTTGCTTGGCGAAGACTTCTGTCGTGCTGGCAGCTCGAGAGACTTCAAGGGCTATGCGGGGCCTGGGCTGAGGGATCTGAGATGTGCTTTGGACAGCCACGGCACGTGAAGGGAAATGAAATCGCAGGTGGAAAGGACCTGGACCGGAGGCGCGCTCGTGGCTGCGAGACTTGGCTGCATTCCAACCTTGACCTAGCTGTGTCGGCCCATACTCCAAACAGGGAACCCACGAGATTCGCAACAGTTGAGATGCCGTTTGAAGCAACCTGAACATGCTACACTTGAATGCCATTCAAAGATGCATGCTGCAGGTTCAGCACAAACCTGAAAGCAGCTGGCAGCAGAGCCCCGGGAGCTCCGAAGGACAAAGACAACCCACGAAAAATCACCCCAAAAAGCATCCAACGGATTTGATGCTGCGGAGCCGTATCCAGGTCGAGGTAGGGAATTCCCAGACCGTCCGGCGCAGGGTCACTGATTTTCGGATTCCTGTGTGTGACGTCCGCGATGCCCTAACTTGGAGGTTTGAGTGGCTTCAGGCGCAGATGCAGTCTCTGCGGTTTACCTCTGCGGCAGGGGGCGGGGGTTTGCTTCCCGGCTGTGATGGGTTAAGCTGAGGGTCGGGAAGACGTCGTAGGCGACCACATCGCACTCGAAGCCCTTCTTCAAGACCGTCGCAGCGATGGTCCCAATCCTGGGGGCGGCAAGTGCAGCACCTCTGGAGCGTGCTCTTATCCACGGACTCCCTGAACTTCCCCCAAACTCGAGCCAGAGGGGCAAGCCGGTTCCGATGATGCCGACGCGCTTTCGGTGCATGTCGCAGCCCAGCTGCCCATCCTCCCGGAGAATCCACTAGCAGTAGACTAGCACTAGGACATTGTGATGGAATACTCGAGTGCACAGCGGACGTCAAACCGCTGCGAAGCTTGCGGCAGCAACGAAACCGCCCCAACTTCTCATCCGTGGCTCCAGCTTGAAGTTGCCAAGCCGGCTGTTGCGATAGGAGTTGGGGATGCGTCGGTTCCTTGGTAAGCGTGGGCTTGGTCGATTCGAGGGCTCGCCTCATGTCCGGCCTGAAGCTCTGGATTGCAGCCCCAGCTTCAGCGACAGCATCAGCGCCACAGCGTGCTCCCCAACAGCATAGGGGCCTAAGTCGCATTGGAAGATGGCGAACCGGCCCGATAGAAACCGCTAAGCAAAGGAGTGGCTCATATTTCTGCGACCAAACAAACATTCCCCTGAAATCAAACTAGTCGAGACAAAGCGCAAGCCTGCGATCCTAACGCTCTGCAGGATGGCCCAAAACCCCTAGTCTTGTGACCATCTTTGGAATGTAAATGCTGGAAACCACACTAGAAATATTTAGCGAGATCTTTGCGAGATTGTTTGGGAAAAATTAGAGAGAAATTTGTGAGAAGCGCAGCCAAATGTGCGAGATATTTGCAAGCAAATAGCAAACAAATAGCAAGCAATTTGTGGGAGATTTGAGAGAGGGATTTGAAAGAACTTTGAGAGGTTAGCAGGGTTAGCTGTCGGAGCAGGGGCGGGGAGGGAAGGGGAGGGAAGACTCTCGCTAATTTCTCGCTAAATTCTCGCTAAGCCCTATGAAATTAGCGAGAAATTAGCGGGAAATTAGCGAGCGTGTGCTGGCGCTCCAGGATGCAGCAGGTCTCAGAGCCTTTACTTCGGGTAGCTGGGAAGTCTCCTCCTGGCTCGCTAATTTCTCGCTAAGATCTCGCTAAGCCCTATGAAATTTGCGAGAAATTAGTGGGAAATTAGCGAGAAATTAGCGAGCGTGTGCTGGCGCTCCAGGATGCAGCAGGTCTCAGAGCCCTTACTTCGGGTAGCTGGGAAGTCTCCTCCTGGCTCGCTAATTTCTCGCTAAAATCTCGCTAAGCCCTATGAAATTAGCGAGAAATTAGCGGGAAATTAGCGAGAAATTAGCGAGCGTGTGCTGGCGCTCCAGGATGCTCGCACAAGTTTGCAAACTCAAGGCAGTCAATGCTACACGCTGGCAAAGTAATCGCTATATAATCGCAAAATAATCGCTAATAGCCGCAAACGAAACAAGCTAAATCGCTAATCCGCTCGCAAAACAACCGCAAATAACTTGCTAATTAATTGTTTGGCGGTGGTCTCAGTATTTACATGGTCTGAAGGTCACAACCCTAGTGCATCCCGATCTTTGCTGTGAAATCCGTCCCGGAGACTGTAGGCCGGCACCCGAGCCACTGTGACGCCGGCTTCCTGCTGGAGGCTTCGGCGAATGCTGGGTGCTGTAGAGTTCTGTGGGAATGACTTCCCCACTATCCTCACCCTAAGGCCGCCCACGGCCTAAGCCGGGCCTCAGCCCTCAGCCTTGAACAGCATGCTGCAGGAACTGCTCAACTGAAGCCCCTGGGCGGCTCCGGGCCTTCGCCGCTTGGAGGTCCACGCGGTCGAAGCCAGCGCAGCGCAAAGCAATGAGCTTCACTCCCTCCTGCGAGGAAACATGAGAACATGTCCCTTTCGCTCGTTCCTACCTCTAAATTCGAATCCTGAAACCTCAAACGAAAAAGTGTCTAAATTTTTGAGCCATTCTTTGAACCTGAAACCCTGCGACTGAGCGGCCTGCGCCAATGCCTTGACCACATCTTCCCCTGCCGACTGGAATGCGCAGGGCAAGGACTGAAAAACGCCATACTCCGGAGCCCCTCGAAAGCCCAAAGCTGTCAGGATAGAGCGCTTCGCATTCAAGTCAGAGTGAGGAGGACATCGAACTACCTGCCTGCGAAGTCGTTCACAAAGGTGCCTCAGATTTGAAGAAAGCGAAATCTGGAGACTCGCGAAGCGGCGAAGCTCTTGCAAGCCAACACAAGTCCTCAAATTCCAGACTACTCACACTGCCCAGGAGCACACCGCCGAGCAGCCCCTGGCACGGGACACCGTGTCTATGTTGAGCCTTGGCTCCAGGCTGTCGGAACTGGTGGGACTTCTCTTGAGCGGCATTGGGCTTCTCGTTTCAGGTGCCGTGGCTTCCCCGAGCCCGGGTGACTAGCCACGACTGTCCTGCAGTCTTCGTTTGCAGCTGTTGATGACAAAAAAAGGCAAAGGTTGCAAGACAGCTCTGAGGATAGAAGAAGAGTCTGAGGAGACGTAAAGGCAATTGACCGAAAGAAATCGGAATGGGGACATCGGCTCATGTCTCCAATGTGGAATGTATGGGTGCTTCAGAGTCAAAGCTAGCTGCTTGCAGGGGACGAATCAGGATCCGAGCCACGCACAACCTGAATTCGATTGATAAGATCTGGGAGCCAGTACACCGGAATGCACACCTGTATAACGGACAGATATGTACCAGGTCAGTCCAAGGCACAAGCAAGTAAAGGCAGAAGAGGTCTCCACTTCGGTGGCAGAGGGAACCGGCACTCGAAGTAAAAGACTGGAATCTTGACTGTAACTCAAACCGTTCCGACAAGTCCCGGAAATGGGATAGTCAAAGCATGATTCGAGATTTGGGGCGTCGTGGGTTGCAGGGCGGGGTGGAAGCCCGGAAGACGTCAGCAGGCCCATACAAGCTCAGTTTTCTTCCTCCCGTCCCTTCCCTCCCTCTCCGCTCTCCCTCCCCTGTAAGTGTTTCTTGTGCTTTGTTGCCACTGGGGAGCTGCTCAGAGTGATATTCGAAGTCGAAGTTGCAGCCTAGCTCCTGAGGCTTCCGAGGATGCTCTGGCCGGCTTCAGGATATGCAAGGTGTGACCAAGGGTGGGCATTCCCTTGCTTCGGATTCGGGGCCTGTTTGAGGTCTAGGACCTGAAATGTAGGAAAGACGGCATTGAAAGTTGTTGTGGATGCAGGGTTGATGTGTTAAGGGCAGTGCATCCCTCTGCACCGAAAAGAGTTTAGGTGCCCTCTCCCGGAGCCCGGAGCCTGATTGGTTCTGTCGAACCACTCGCGGTCGTACGGAGCACAAGAGAAGATGGCAACCTCCGGCACGATTTTGCTCTGAAGGCGGCTTGAGGCTGCTCGTCTGCTTGGCCCACCCTCTAGGACTGGCTAGACGCCGGAAGCCCCTCTCAAAGGTTCCGTCGCATCGGGAACAATTTTCCAGGGCATGGCTTCAGTCATGTCGATGCCTTGAAAGAGCTTCGTCTCCGCAGCGCATGGACCTCGTCGGTTTCCGTGCTGAGATCTGCTATGAATTCTGGCTTTCCCAACTTTGGGCTGTTGGGCTTGGCAGTTTCTTGCGCAGTGAGCCTACACTCTCATGTGACTGAACTTTTTTGTTTGTGCAAGCCTGTCGAACCTGACGGTCTGCAGTCTCACGGTCATGGTTCGGGCTTTCGGGAAGCGTGACGCAGCGCTGCATGAGACATGGAAGGTGAACCACAGGGCTCAATGACACGAACAGCATGATGATGACGCTGACGCTGACGATGACGCTGACGATGATGATGACGATGACAATGATGCTGACAATGACGATGACGATGATGATGACATTGACGATGAGGATGAGGACGACAACGACGATGACGACGAGGACGAGGACGAGGACGATGACGATGACGACAATCATGACGATGACGATGACGACGACGATGACGATGATGATGACGATGAACACGAAATGACGATGATGATGGCGATGACGATGACGATGACGATAACGATGATGATGATGATGATGATGATGATGATGACGTTGATGGTGATGATGTGGCAAGAACAGCAGTTTGAGGGTAGCGACGTTGGGCAATGATAAGCCTGCTGCTGACGGGGATTAAGGCAACCATCACGCCACCATGACCACCCTATCTCAAGACTCACAGTTGTCGAAAGCGGACGATGGTAACCAACACGGTCATCATGCTCGTAACTGAAGGTGTGGTTCTCGTCTAGCATCGTCTAGCACAATGTTCCTTGCAGCTGCCGTGATCTTCGCAATTGCCTCAAGTCTCGTAGCAACCTCGATCGTAGAAGCTCTGACAACCACCACACAACAGCCTCAATGATCTGTATCTTCTGATGAAAATACAAGCCGTCCGGTTCCAAACTGGGCAAACACGGTCGAGGCACGGGTGAACGATCGCGAAAGAGCCATCCAACGAAGTCCTCCGAAGGCCAGGTCTTGGCTAAATCTCACGGTTTCGGGACTTGCAGTCAGAAGACGTGAGAAAGACCCCCAGGCTCCCAGGCTCCTTGTATTCCACAAGATCTCCCCAGGGATGCATGAGCGACTCCTTGGGGCCAAGCATGGGTCGTCTCTGCGCCACACTCACTCTGCTGGGCTGCAAGAAAGTCGCAATCTCATCGTCGTGCCATGCATCGGGCAGGGCTGCTTTCAGAGCCTCGGCCAGGAGGCTTGCGAATCCCTGCGCTTCGCAAGACCTCTTAGTCTTCGTTGGAGACTGGAGAGTCAAAAAGACTCAACTCGAGTCTCAACAGAAGCCCTCAAGCTTGGGGCTCCAAAGTGTCCTGAAAGCCGGCCTGAATTCTCCAAACGGAAGCCCTGAACTCAATGCAGAGTCAACGCACCTTCGCGAGCAAGTCATGCTTCACGGTCCCGGTGCCTTTCAAGATGTGGAACTGATGCTTCGCTCATTTAAGCCCAGATCGCACACGGACGCGTGGGGACATGGCATCCGTCACCAGGGCTCATGTTATGCAAAGCCCAGGTCCTCGCAAAGACTTCAGGTCATGCACTGCGACCCCATCTCTGCTCTCTGCCTGCTTTGTCGACCTTCGCACATTGGGCGATGATCGCTTGCGCCATGGCCGTGCGCTCGACAGGGCTGTGAGGCAGAAGAGCCAAAATCATGCCTGCTTACTCGGATTTCGAATTTCGGATGACAAGACCGAGCTGGGAGTTGAGATGCCAGGCTGAATTCTTGGGCTTTGAGCAATTTCAAGGTACGACATCGAGGGCTTGGCACACATTCGCTCAAAGTCTTACCAAACGAAGCACGACGGGAGCTTTTTGCATGTCACCGGCACACCCAGGGAGTCGTTAACTGCGGGCGGGATGATGACAACAGAAAGTTGCGACAGCCGTGCTCGTGCTCTCAGGTCGCTCCAAACGTCCTGGCAAGTTCCGAACTCAAACGAGTGAGCAAAAGCTGAAGAGCCAGAGCTGGGAACGAGCCTCCTGTTTGCTTTAGGACGTACCAGCCCATCGGAAGAGACGCACACGTGTATCTTTCTGCAGCCAGTCACCTGGCCTCATCATCCAGGACCCCTCGTCATTGCGCTTTGCACCTAGTCTTCCAATCGACACAAGGACAAACCCGCAGTGGTGGGAGCAGCTCTCTTGGAAAGAGAAAGCAGGGCCCTCGGCTCGAGGTTGCGAAGACTCCCCAGCCCTCTGAGAGCTGAGCCCGGGCGATACCGGATAGACCATGCCCTCGGAGTATGGGTTCCGTGCCGGTTGCGAACAGAGTTCCCACGGTTTCGGGAAACGTGACGCAACAGTGCTCGAAGTCTATCCCCCTTATGCAGGAGATGTCTTCCCTTATGATCCGACATCTAGACGTTGTCTTTGGGCGGCCTGATGAACCTTCGCAACATTTTGGGACCCTTGAAAGAACCGCGACACGGACCCTGCAAGCCAAAGCAGACCAGATGTTTGCCATGTGGGTTACCGCTTTGCCTGAATCCGATTGTCACACGAAGAAGCCAAGAAGGCCCAAAACCCCGGAACTCACCCCCGGCTGCCTCTTCTCTCAGACCATCTGTCCTGACCGTCACAGGGGCCTCCACAGACAGAACACTTCGGACTTCTGGAGCCGAGGGTTGCATGAGACGCCCTGGCCCTAGCCGTAGCCCAAAACCTCTCTGCAATCCGGCCTTCAGAGGCGCTGCACCGTCGGAGCCCGGCCTGCCGAGGTGAGGACTCATGGCCATGGAGCGCCCATGGCCCATGGTGGAGCGGGAAGTCTCAAAGCCGCGAGATCCACAGTCAGTGCTCCTCGAAGCTCACACAAAAATCCTAAACAATACAAAAAAGAACCTACCATGCGCCTGGACCCTTTTGCTTCTGCTGGGGCCGGAGTGCCTGAGTTGAGATGTGAGCTTCAGGAGGCCCAGAGTTTGGAGTCGGAGGCGTCCGAAGATTTCAGCAATACAGCCGTATGGGTCATGCGGGCACAGAGATACAAAACGACAACATCGATCGAACGTGTCTGGCCTTGTTGATTGCTCTGCCGCCGTCTTTCGAAGGTCTTTGCGGTAGGTCCAAGGAGGCCAGCAAAGCGTGCAATTGCTGTCTAGGTCAGCTCGGGGCCCCGCTAGGCATGACGTCGTGGCTGGTCGTGTCCGGTCCTCGCATTCTGGGTAGGAGTTTCAGATACAAATTCCACTCCAAATTCCCTGGGATCGCAGTGCTTGCCAAACAAACCGAAATTGGTAACATGATAAGAGTATGGGGTGCTTACTCCTGCGTAGACGAAACGAGATTTGGTTCATTTGTCCCTGCCGCGCCCGCCGCCGGTGCACCCGGCGATTCCGCGGCACCCGCTGTGACGCTTTGCTCTCGCTGCATAACTTGTTTTGAACGTGACACGGAGACGGAGCCCGAGACCCGACAAACACTGAGGCCCACACCTGGGCCGAAACGCTTCAGGTCTGCCTCCTGCCGAATCATAAGCGTCATGCGAAGCTTCGAAGAATCTCTTCGAAAGCTGTGAACCCCCAGCCTTGTAGTTTGCGTGCGTGATCCTGGTGTGTCAGCCAGTCTTGAGAAGCAGATCAGTTGGCAACTCCGAAGTCTTCATGCATCAATCATTGGCGTTCGCAGTTTGATTTCGTAGCAGCTGCTTGGACTTTCGAGTTTTAGAGCTTAGGGTGTAGAATTTCGGGCTTGGGGTTTGAGGAAGGTTCGGTTTCTCCAACAATGAGTAGTGCAACGTATCAGGATGCACCCCGAACTCTTGGAGTTTGTGAAGGATTCTGGGCCGATGACCATCCACTTTAAACGATGATCCGGGCGCTGCAGCAAGACCAAGGACATCAAGGTGTGCACCCAGATCAGTGGGATCTTCGGTAAGTTTAAGCCCTATTGGATCCCCGCACCTCTAGGATATGGCACATGCAACACCAAGCCTGAATAGCATACGAGTCGAGACTTCTCATAAGTTGTGAGAGACGCCACCGCTACTTCTCAGGGTTCGGAGTTTGGGGTGAACGGTCCAGCACTCGTCATGACTAAATCCTAGCGGCATCGTAGGTCCCAGTCCATCAACCTTGAGTTTCAATCTGAACTCCCAATCCTAATCCTTAAACCCTAAAATCTAAACACCTTTCACCCCAAAACCCTAAACCCTACAAAAAACAACACATTTCTTCATTCCCCCACCCACACACAACACACACGCACACACACACACACACACACACACACACACTTGACACTTGACACATCGTGTCGCAGGTCTCGAATCACACTCTCAAAGTCAGAAGAGTCAGCTGCTTGAAGTTACTCGATCTTGTCATTTCGGCCAACTGTGAAACAACCGCATCTTTGGGGTATTTCGGGCGGCCGTTATGCAGGTAAAATCAGGGAAAGTCACTCTGCACTGCTCAAGTTGTTCTCAAACTGCAACACCCTTGCAGGTACGTTTGCACCCCTCCCTGGGGGTGTCTTCGTTGGCCGGTGACCCCCAGGGAGAGCACCGGCCCCCTGCTGACACTTCACTTGCAGCACACTTGCACATCACTTGCAACACGCTTGCACATCCCTTGCTGGCACATCTCGCAATTTTAACTGGCATGTTTTCAACACATGTATGCACGAACTCGACAAAGAACGAAGCTCCACAGAGTGAATGTTTGCAGCTTGGTCAGCTGCTGCAACACCCTTGCAGTGACACTGGCTCTTGCACTTCCGACGCACAACCTTGCACTACCGCTGACACTTCACTTGCAGCTTGCTCTTCGAATCAAAAGGCTCCGTAGTTAAACAAACTTACTCTCAATCACGTCAGATTTACCTACCCTTCGAAACAGGGATGGACACACACAAGCCCGACCGGGCTCATTGCATCTGTTCAATCGCTTGCTCTTGCACTTCCGACGCACAACCTTGCACTACCGCTGACACTTCACTTGCAGCACACTTGCACATCACTTGCAACACGCTCTTGCACTTCCGACGCACAACCTTGCACTACCGCTGACACATTAATGCACAGCACTTGCAGGACAGTGGCACTCACCTTGCAATATAAACAGTGTTTGCGCGCTGCTTTTTCACTGAATTTCATGGGAAAGTCTTATGCTCAAGAAACCTAGGAAAGTGGGCTACGAAACTTCAGGAAGCGCAGTCTATGCACTAAGTGCAATTCAACTTCAGCACACCGGACGCTCACTCAGAATGAAACTGGATACCGACATGATGAAAAGCTACTTGTATGTTCAGAATCTGTCATGCACTACAGGGGACCTTGAGGGCATGAGGTAGGACCTTGCACATCACTTGCACGTCACTTGTACGTCCCTTGCACATCCCTTGCACGTCACTTGCACGTCCCTTGCACATCCCTTGCAACACCCTTGCAGTGACACTGGCACGGCACTAGCAGGACAGTGGCACTCACCTTGCAATGTAATCTTCCGCGTCAGCATCGAAGTACATGCAACACTGAGTTGCAGTTTGGCACGCAACGCCGGCCAGTGACACAATACTCACTCGCAAACGCTCCTGTACTAGGTCTACAACAGCTCTCATCCACCTTTTTGACGGGCTGCTCAACATGGTGCATGCCACGGCATTGATTTGTGCAAAACGGATGGTGGTATGCAAAGACTGAAAGCCCATGGTCCACTCAACCGAAGAGGACAGCCGAAACTCCTGTATCCCACGTCGCAGGAAAGTGTACGCCACCATGGTGTCGGTTATGGGTTGTGCCTCTTCTGGGTCATCATTTGGATCGAGACGGGTAATGAATGTGATTCTGGTTCTGATCGGCAACACGTACATCAAGATGATGTCGAGCACGTCAGAAGCAGCCCAATCCCGAGTGCTTGAAACAAAACTCTGTTGCATGTCTGATGAAAGCAGCTCACAACAGCTCAGCACTTGCACGTCTCTGACATGTAACTCTACACATTTCTTGCACTGCACTTGCACAAACCTCGCACACCCTTGCATATCACTTGCAATCCGCTTGCTCAAGTTGTTCCCAAACTGCAGCACTTGCACATCGCTTGCACAACTCTTGCATCACACTTGCTCTTCTAATCAAAAGGCTCCGTAGTTAAACAAACTTACTCAAGTTGTTCCCAAACTGCAGCGCTTGCACATCGCTGTCAACTGTCAACTGATTACAGACCGCTCTGCAACTGACTGCTTCGGGTTTGGGGCAGGAACTAATCGACCAGAGGACGAAGACGCAGACTGTCTGTCGATGGATGAAGACGCTTGCACTTCCGACGCACAACCTTGCACTACCGCTGACACTTCACTTGCAGCACACTTGCACATCACTTGCAACACGCTTGCACATCCCTTGCTGGCACATCTCGCAATTTTAACTGGCATGTTTTCAACACATGTATGCGTGCAAAGCAGTTGTCAACGGAAGCTTCCGGGATGAAACATGAAGAACGAAAGACCCATCTGCCATCTTTGGCACGGGCAACGTCACGAATGTAACTGCAGGAATGGTCACCTTCAACTCCTCCCATGGGGATCCTTGAGTGGGGAGGCGTGAGGGATCACATCTCGCAATTTTAACTGGCATGTTTTCAACACATGTATGCAACACCCTTGCAGTGACACTGGCTCTTGCACTTCCGACGCACAACCTTGCACTACCGCTGTCAACTGTCAACTGATTACAGACCGCTCTGCAACTGACTGCTTCGGGTTTGGGGCAGGAACTAATCGACCAGAGGACGAAGACGCAGACTGTCTGTCGATGGATGAAGACGCATTAATGCACAGCACTTGCAAGACAGTGGCACTCACCTTGCAATATAAACAGTGCTTGCGCGCTGCTTTTTCACTGAATTTCATGGGAAAGTCTTATGCTCAAGAAACCTAGGAAAGTGGGCTACGAAACTTCAGGAGGCGCAGTCTATGCACTAAGTGCAATTCAACTTCAGCACACCGGACGCTCACTCAGAATGAAACTGGATACCGACATGATGAAAAGCTACTTGTATGTTCTGAATCTGTCATGCACTGCAGGGGACCTTGAGGGCATGAGGCAGGACCTTGCACATCACTTGCACGTCACTTGTACGTCCCTTGCACATCCCTTGCACGTCACTTGCACGTCCCTTGTACATCCCTTGCAACACCCTTGCAGTGACACTGGCTCTTGCACGTCCGCAAAAGGCTCCGTAGTTGAACAAACTTACTCAAGTTGTTCCCAAACTGCAGCGCTTGCACATCGCTTGCACAACTAGGAATGGTCACCTTCAACTCCTCCCATGGAGATCCTTGAGTGGGGAGGCGCACTTGCACGTCTCTGACATGTAACTCTGCACATTTCTTGCACTGCACTTGCATTAATGCACAGCACTTGCAGGACAGTGGCACTCACCTTGCAATATAAACAGTGTTTGCGCGCTGCTTTTTCACTGAATTTCATGGGAAAGTCTTATGCTCAAGAAACCTAGGAAAGTGGGCTACGAAACTTCAGGAAGCGCAGTCTATGCACTAAGTGCAATTCAACTTCAGCACACCGGACGCTCACTCAGAATGAAACTGGATACCGACATGATGAAAACCTACTTGTATGTTCGATGCTAACATTTGCAAATCTCTCACACATGGCAAAGTCAGATCAAGACATGTTGCATGCACGTCCGCTGTCAACTGTCAACTGATTACAGACCGCTCTGCAACTGACTGCTTCGGGTTTGGGGCAGGAACTAATCGACCAGAGGACGAAGACGCAGACTGTCTGTCGATGGATGAAGACGCTCTTCGAATCAAAAGGCTGAATCTGTCATGCACTACAGGGGACCTTGAGGGCATGAGGTAGGACCTTGCATGCACAGATGATCAGAGTCTGTTCAATATTCTTGCACATCAATTGCATCCCTTGCACATCCCTTGCACGTCACTTGCACGTCCCTTGCACATCCCTTGCAATACCCTTGCAGTGACACTGGCACACAGACGCTTGTTTGCAACTGCTCACGTTTCACTCTGAGACTTCAATTTCTGCTGGAAGCGTTGGGGGCAACTCTGTTGTTTCTTGTAGTTGAAGAGAATTAACGCAATGAGTAGTCACAGATTGAAGAGAATGCAAATCAGTCAGCAAGTTCCCCACCACTTCGTTGGTCTTCTGAAGTTTCTGAAACAGTTCTGTGGTGGCGGACATGACTTCCGCCACCTGAGCCTCAGTGTCCCTGATTTGTGTGGTGAGCACGTCGAGTTGGGCTTGTTGGATCTTCTGGACGGATAAGGCTTCTTCGCGAAAATGACGGAATTCCCCTCTGATTGTGATCAGCTCCTGTTGTGTGACTGCACATTGTTTCCTCACTTCAGCACTCGCATGCGTCACAGATACAAGCCAAAAGCACTGCGATGCTAACATTTGCAAATCTCTCACACATGGCAAAGTCAGATCAAGACATGTTGCATGCACGTCCGCTGTCAACTGTCAACTGATTACAGACCGCTTTTACCGTTTCATCAAAGCTTCACACAAGCGAAATGGATATCCAAGGTTCGCTAACCACCGTACAAAAGTATGAACAGCGACTTCTGCTTGGCACGTTGGCCAAGTGTACTTACGGATGATAGAGATTCTCGACTTCGCACCTGACACCAGCAATCGTTCACTGCAAGTAGTTCCCAAACTGCGCTTGCACATCGCTTGCACAACTCTTGCACTGCTCCGTAGTTGAACAAACTTACTCAAGTTGTTCCCAAACTGCAGCGCGACCCAATTGAAACTAGCTGAGTACACACGTATCAGCTTCGCTTCTTCCTCACGCACTTCCAACCCACGAAGTTCAGGAATCACGAAGAAGTTTGAATCTTGCTCCCACTCAACTTCCACATGCCCTTTGAGAAGAGATCGATTCTCAAAATGCTCATACGAGTCTTGCAAGGGTTTAACTCGAAAGACTTAAGTCTGGTCCGCACTGAGCTGCCACCCTACGCGATCTGCCGAAGACCTGCGACAAGTCAGCGAAAAAGTCAGATTCGGGAAAGTCGATCTGATCATAGACAGTCAGTGGGAAAGTCAGCATTCAGGTTTCGGTACAGGCATTTGGTGAAGACTCACTGAGAAAGTCAGCTTGCAAGCACGGATATAGAATCAGGTAAAGTCATCCAATGCTTATACAGTCAATCGGGAAAGTCAACGCCAGAGCTACCTCTGGGAGACACGGCGCCCATAGGGAATGCCGTTGTGAAGCACACTTGACACATCGTGTCGCAGGTCTGATCTGTCGGTGCATACTGTCAGGGAAAGTCAGCAGATGTCAGGGAAAGTCAGAAGCTGCAAGGGAAAGTCAGAACATGCAATCAGAAGCTCGTACGAATCTTGCTCTAGGGTTACTGATTTGCAGGTACGTTTGCACCCCTCCCTGGGGGTGTCTTCGTTGGCCGGTGACCCCCAGGGAGAGCACCGGCCCCCTGCTGACACTTCACTTGCAGCACACTTGCACATCACTTGCAACACGCTTGCACATCCCTTGCTGGCACATCTCGCAATTTTAACTGGCATGTTTTCAACACATGTATGCACGAACTCGACAAAGAACGAAGCTCCACAGAGTGAATGTTTGCAGCTTGGTCAGCTGCTGCAACACCCTTGCAGTGACACTGGCTCTTGCACTTCCGACGCACAACCTTGCACTACCGCTGACACTTCACTTGCAGCTTGCTCTTCGAATCAAAAGGCTCCGTAGTTAAACAAACTTACTCTCAATCACGTCAGATTTACCTACCCTTCGAAACAGGGATGGACACACACACACACACACACACACACCCACACACCCACACACCCACACACACACGCACACGCACACAAGCTTGCGCAGCAAACCGTACACCCTGAACCCTACTTTCTAAGCCCTAAGCCCCAAATCCGCGGTTCGATCTTGCCGAAGCATACCCCGAGCCTTGCGCTCTGAGCTCCTCACCCTATTCGCTCGGGTACCGGGAGTGGCTCGAAGACCATCTCCAGAAAAGCCTGCAAAAAAAGGCTCACGTGGGTAGGGCCGTGAAGGTCTCAAAGACCCAGTCTCAGGGTCTCCTTCTTCTGCTCGGAGTCCGGCTCAAGTGCAAAGAAATCGTTCTCCTCGAACTCGCCTGTGGCCCAGGTGGTTTAGAGCAAGTCGGTGGTCCAGGGCTGCAGGATTTAAAACTCAGGATCGACCACGCAGTGCCGCCACGAGGCTTCTCTGCCACTTGACCTCCGGCTTCTTCGCGTACGCTTCATAGGTTGACCTAGACCGTCACAGCAGAGGAAACTTAGAGGCGTCGACTTCATGTCGTGGTTCGGCCTCACGTCGGGTGTTGGCAGATACCCTCGACAAATGTAGCTTGCCAAGTACATGATCCTACATAGCTGACCACAGAGAGGCTGTGTCAGGTGAGCAGCTGCTCCGCATCCTTTATCCATGCGTCATGTTGCGAACAGCCAATGGGGCTTCTCAGCTTGTTTCGGGGCCACTGCGAGAAGCCATGATGGGTACTGCTGAGAAGATTCTGTCGTGCGGGCTGCATTTGGGTTGGAAGCTCGGATTTGGGACTCAGGGAACCCTCGACAATCAGCCGACGTGGTCCGTGGGTCCAGGCTGCAAAGCGTACATGGGATCATCCCAGGTCCACTTCCTGGCGACTGCATAGTAGTGGCGGTGCCGGTCATGGTATGATGAGGGTCAAGCGGATCCGGATAATAACGGCGAGGTTGAGAGGGAGGAGGAGCAGGAGCAGGCTAAGGAGGAAGACGGGGGGCTGGGTGGATGAGGACAAGCAGGAGGAGGAGAAGTATAATGAAGGCGATGAAGAACAAAACGATGATGATTTACACATGGCGATTTGTTTCTGTAGTTTTGTTTGTGTATGCCAACTGGGCAAGTTGAAACCATCACCACTCTCAGGCACTGTCAGCCGCTGGAAACCGTTGGAGCTGTTTCGATGCTCTCGGTAACAGCTCCTCAAAATCCAGAGGACCAAATGGGTCCTGAGAACTCTCTTACTTAGGCTAAACACCCAGCGAATCCAAACGATGACTGTGCTGTTGAGATACCGGGCCCTGGAGCTGAAGATTGAAGAATGTGGCCTCGCTCTCTTTTGCCACCCTGGTAGCCCTGGCAAAATCTCTGCCCAATCGTGCAGGGCCGGCTTCTGCGGCTGCCGCTCTGGGCCCTGATGCGCAAAAGGAGTGAAGTCTTGCTGGGCACTTTACGACTTTACGAACGGCCGCCTCCCTGGGCCGCTCGGGAGATGGCGCCGGCGTCGGCCGCCCGGGCGTCGGCTCTTCGGCTTCCGACAGCTTCTCCTTGCATCGGGAAAGACAAGGACTTCCCAAAGCCTCAGTTGTGACGCGCCTTGGTCTCTTTGGCACTTTCCGAGGGCTTGATGTGTTGGACATCCTGCACCTCCCAAAGCGTTTCGGCCGGGCCGGGGAGAGCGGGGCTGCGGCGGCCCCAGCCTCTCCCTCAAACTCTCTGAGTGAACGCCCAGGGCCCGAGCCTTGGCAAAAACGAGGAGGTGGTCAACCTGGCGGATCTGACAGGATCATGATGCTTGCAGAAGTGGTAAGACGTAAGACCGTCTTTTTAGCTCCAGAAAATTGAAGCTGCAAGTCGACGTTTCACAACTTCGCAAGCGACAACACCCGGCTCACGGCAAACGCGCTCTTCGAACGCGTGAGCTGAATCCTTGCTGTCCTCCGCAGCATTGTCATCGTCAAGTCGTCTTCGGCACTGCGTCGCGCGGAACATGCCGCACAAATCATGTTGATGTCGCTACGAAACACCTGGCCGTTTCAATATGTCGCAATTTGCAGGCGCTTCTGCTTGGAGCATCGTGCCGTGCGGACTGTTGACGAGCCTTGGTCTTCAAGCGCGGGACATGGGACACTGCTGGGAGCCAAGCTGTCACTTTACAAAATCATGTGCTCAACACACCGTTTATTGCTTCAGGCGTCACTGACTGGACACCTCTAAACACCACGCACTCTCGCTGTTCTTTGCCTGGCAAACCCAGCCAAACTCTTCCCAACAAGGCCTTATAAACCGGTGTAATCTGACGAACCTCAATTCAGCCGAAGGCCTCATCATCAACCGACACAAACCTAACAGAGCCGGGCGTACGAGCGAAGCAATGTCTATCTTCATGTTCAGGTTTACGCTTACGTTGAGTTGCGGCCGACCTGCCAAAGGAACATGTCAAGTCTGTGCACCCTAACCTGGCAGTGCCTTCGACTCAAAACGCTGTTCAAGTCCACATACCTGCCAAATGTTTCACCCCGCTCCAAGACTTTGATGTAGGTTTGCTTGCAGTTACCTGTCCAAGGATGTCGCTCTTGTGCCGAAATCCCTCACCCCAGAAAAGGGATGCGGCCTGTTACCGGATCCAGCTCTGTCTTCGACGTCGAGCTGCCAGCCGTGAGACTCAAAGGCCTCGGACGCTACAACGGCACATGCTTCACGGCTGTCGGATTCCAGATGTGGAGCTGCAGGACTTTGGAGTTTGGAGCTGGATGCTCCGTTGAGCACATCTAAGATTAGACGATGCTACGTCGTTGGCAAACAACCGCTTAAACGTCAAACGTGCAGGACCTACAATCACATCAGCCGTGCGGACCGGCCTGCCCACCTGACACTTAACTACTCAACGCAAGAGACAATCAAGCATATCCAAACCTGAGCCTTGAGCAAGCCAAAACTAGAACAACGAATTGTGGCAAAGATCGATGTCTGCAAAGTCTGCCAGATAAGACATAAGACTCGCAAAAAGATATATGGACCTCGACAGCAGCCATGGATGGCAAACCCTGAAGACCGGAAGCCCAAGTTTCGTCAAATAGAGCGACGAAAATCTGGCAGAAGAGACGCATGTGAAGAGTGCGGGCCGAATGAAGTCCAAGAACGGAATCAGACGCAAGGCCGAAAAAACAGAGCCATTAGACATATGCCCTTCATCCGAGTATTCCAGTGGGGCGCTGGCAGCGACCCCACTGCCATAGTGACAGCCGGAATGCCGCCACCTGGGCCAGTGCGATCTGAAGCCCAGGAAAGGAAACATCCGCTTTATAACGCAAGCCAAAATTGCGGGCCGGGCCAGCACCACCGGGCCCGACCCTGGCCCCAACAGCTCTTGAGCCGAGAAGTAGCCGAAGGACTTCGATTCTAACACGTCCAAAGGTCTGAGTGCACTTCGTGAGGACGTCGGGCTCAGAGCTTTCGAGGTGCTTGGTGCCTGTTGAAACCTTTTCCGCTCGTCGAAGGCATCTCAATCGCGCAAATGCTCATTGTTAAGGCTAGGGACAACGCTCGACTCGACCACGGGTTCGCCTTTGCCATTTACCTTCCCAACTCGAAGCAAGCCCAAGCCGCACCTGAACCCCATCTGCCCGCCAGAAATGCAGGATAACCATATGCAGCACAAAGAAACCTTGAAGCAAAGGCTTGAAATGTACTGGTGGAAGCAAAGGGACTGCACCAATGAACCGAACCCAAACGCTACGTGAGTGATATGCACAACGCTTTTGCAGAACAAGCCCCTGTAGATCCTTTAGAGCCCTTCGACTGCTACACACAGAGCCAGCGGCTCTGACTTCCTCTGTGGCGTACCCGAGCTGGAACCGGCGTGAAGAGCAGAAAAGCACCGTGGCAGCCGCCGCCGTTCTCGCCGTGCTTCATTGGTCCGCCGACATGGCAACCTCGTGGCATTTTGCTTTGCCCTGCTCGGCCATGCAGTGGCACTCAAATCCCTTCAGAACCACCACGATGTCCGATTCGTGATCCCCACTGTCCAAGCTGGCAGGCGAAAGCCAAAGGCGGCATAGTCCTGCAATCACAGACGACATTGGTGACTGCACCCCGACACATTCTGTCAACACACATCCCTCGGCTTACGTCGCACAAAGCCTAAAACACTTCACCGTTTGAATGCGCAGCTGCAAGGACCGGTCGAAGCCCCAGGGCCTGGGCAGTGTACCACAGCACGTTCTCCAGCGTGTCCTCGAGCAGACTGGGTCTGGGTGGCGAGGCGCGAAAATCAAATCAGAAAAGTGGCGTCACAGCCGATGCCCAGGCCGAGCTAAGCTACTGCGACCCTGCAACGCGAGAGGTCTCTTACTGCACAGAGGGAAATTGCTGACAAGTGGAGACACAAATACGTGTAGCGACGAACAGAAACTAAGAGATCTATGGTGTGAACCTGCTCAGGTCATCTGACTCTCGTATCATGCCTTGTGCTGGACGCTGCGATATGTCGTGCTCTCACCTGTTCAATTCCAGTCCTGGTCGTAAAACTGGCTGAAGATCGACATCGTGGGATCGTGGTAAGTATTCGTGTGCAGCGCTGCACCCTCGCTGGCATAACCTGTCCCCGGAAAGTACTCATCTGCCAGGCGCGAAGACCTCTCGAGCGAAAAGCCAATGACAGCATGCAACATCTCGAAGACCTGCCAATTTACTGCAGACCGGTCTGCTGTCAAAAGCCCTACAAAGTCGACCCGCTGGAAGATGAAACGGCAGCCCTCGTTCAGAAAGATGCTCTGAGGAATCCAGTGGTCGTCGATCACCATGTTGGGAGTTGGGAGTCGCTGCCTTGCGAAGATGCGAAAAGCTGTGATCTGCTCATGCCGCGAGCTGTTCAAGCTCACGCCTTCCCATCCCTGTCGGTTTGTTTCACAGTTTCTCGAGGACTGCATGCATTTGTCAAGAAACGCTGAGAGGAAGCGCTCCAACGGATCCCGCACGAATGCCACAAACTTGAAAGTTGGACTCCTCCAGTAATGATAGCACGCCCGCGAATGCACAAAGCGGTCCGATCCACGTGACTCTGGCTGGACGATGTCTTCATAGGTCACATTCCGATGGTGAAAATGATGATCCAACAGGAAAAACTGCATGAGACCCACTTTTGGTACAGAACAAAGAGCATAGCGGTGCTTCTGGCTAACATGCATTCGATACGTATACAGCGACCACCTGAAGCGGAAATAATATTGAGTCAGTGCACGAGAAGCGAAGGCAGAGCGAACAGGACGCACACGCCAAGAAGATGGGTTCAGGTACCAGGAAGGCTTCCGATCATCTTTCTGTTCCAAGAGGGATTTCAGCTGCGATGCTCTCAATGCATCCTGGGGCTGGCTCATCCGCAAACGGACTCGGCTCCGTATCGGTGAGCCGTGCAATTGCAAGGCTCCCTTCGAATGCCCCAGTTTCAAGAGAAGGACGTGCCATCCGAGCAGCAGTTCAGACCTTCGCAAGCATATCTTTGGCACACATACACCAATCACAGATAAGTTGAGCAGGCGCGCCGAACTCATGGAGTTAAGCTGCTCAAGGACAGGCGTATGCTGCTGGGTTCCCCAGATCTCCATCAGCTTCTTGCCTGAAGGACCCACGGACCGAAAGCCCCTTGCCCAGTTATGGCTGTCCACCAAGCCATGCGAATACAAAACGTATCGTGCGCCCATCGTGACGCATTGGTGCAGCTGCTCTGACCAAGCATCGGACAAGAACAGCGACTGGCCACTGGCAATGGCGAAACGAGTGTCGGAATTGAAGTGGGCAAGACATCGCTCGTCTGCAGCCCGATGCTCATCGAACGAAACCTCAGCCCGATGCAGTTCGTGAGCAACAAGTTGTTGCAACTGCCTCAAATACGGCTTCAACACCTGCCCTGCTTGCAGCTGAAGAAATAGAAATGGAAGTATTGCGGCTTTTCGATGCCACATTTTGTATGTGGTGGGTGGGTCTTTGCGTGCACAATGTGCAGGGTGTGAAGCACACCCTCCTGACAGCACTGGCCATCAGCCGACTACAGCCGACTACAGCAGACTGCGGCGAAGTCGGGCGTATGGCTCAGGGCAGCGCGAGGACAAGCATCTACTCAAAATCAGGATATGTGCGGTTTGGAGTCACCAACTGTTTGGACTTCCCACTTCGAGCGCATAACTGATGCCGGAACCACAATATCTCATAATATGGTTTCGAAGCTTGAACCTTCGTGGGACGACCATGTTGTCCCTTGCTCTGTGACCTTGGACGTCACAACTGGGTCGTTGTTGTCGGAAGAAGCGAAACTCATCTTGGCAGCCGAAAACCCTCACAAGAACTCTCGGGAGCCATCGGCGGCTGCAGACCCAATTCCCAATCTTATTCTAGCCCTTGCCCGATGTGCCCAAAAGACAAGGTACCATCCAAGCAATTCGTGCTGCAAACTGAGAGCCCTCCTGCAGATCGTCTTCGGCCAATGGTTGCATTTTCAGAGCGCGCAACGCTCCTGACGGGAGTCTGCAGCGACAATTGGCATCACCACAGCAGCCATGGCCGTCGGTTTTACTTCGCCAAGCACAGCATTGCGGTGAGCCGGGGCCGTTGCCAGGCGATGCCAGGCTGCTGTCTCTCCTGTCTAGTTCCATGGACCTGTTTTTCGGTGCGAAGGTTCAGAACTCGTTTGGTAAAGCTGTGCGCAATTCAGCAGAAGCTAACGTGACTGGATTGCGCCTGTGGACTTGGAGGCTGCTGAATCTAAGGCTCTACCTTGCCATTTCGAGTAGAGTCGGCAAGCAGCATTCGGGCTTCGCAGTTGCAGGTCCGAGACATGCCGGGCAGTATTTGCCGCAAGGCGCCAGCAGACTCTCGTCTCTTGGAGACGGGTTGCGTGAGGCCCTGGCTTGCATCCCACGCCGAATGCGGCACATGTGCATGTTGATATCGTTTCATTCAAGGTGCTAATTTGAGTTTACCCCCACGCCTATGTCCGCTAAGCAACATCAGTGCAGTACAACAATACTTTGACTCGCGGGAAGCATAGAAAGCCAAGCCAAGCGGTCCCAGGATTTGTACAGTCATGGACGGCTAGACGATGCTTCAGACTCGAAGCTGGCGCCTTCAGCGGATGGAGCTTCATGCAAGGCTGGCAAACCCAGGCTCTCAGAAGCCGTGCACGAGGGACACCTGCCTTGGAAGCCGGATTTCGTTAGTTCCCACGCCCTTCCATCCTTCCATGAACGAAAACTCCGCTGAAAGCCCGCCTCCTCGCTTCAAGGCAGACGTGAGCAACGGAGGAATCTGAAGACTGAGGTTTAGCAGCTCTAGGTCCCGAGATCTGGGCTCTGGACTCGCCAGGCTCCTTCAAAAATCCCGAAGCCCTGGACCTTACACTTCGAAAACTCCTGCATCACAGCAGCGGGTGTGCGAAGACGTTGCTTCCTGGCCAGCTGTTGGAATGAGCAAAAGACTCGGAACCGGGTAAGCAAGATAGCGAACAAACCAATAAAGCAATCCCTTCACCCGTATGGGCCGGAGCAGTTGGCTTATTGATTATTGGCTTAGTGGTTTACAGGCTCTCCCACCCTCATTATTGTTACATCAGTGATGTTAGAACCCCGGATGGTGGTTATAACCATACTCACTAGATCAATAACCAACAAGCCGATCAATAACCAATCAACCAATAAACCGAACCCTGCCCCCCTATGGGCCAGCGCAACTGGTTTACCAGTTATTGGTGTTTTGGTCTATAGGCTATAGGTCATTGGGATATTGGTTTATTAGTCTATTGGTTTTCCTCTATAAACCTGTTCTCCCTCCCCCTATAGGCAGAATCCACTGGCTTGTTGGTATATTGGTTTATTGGTCTACTGGTTGGTGTTTTATTGGTCCATTGGTTTATTGATGCATTGCTTCCTATTGCAAGCTATTGTTTATTGGTTTTCCTCCATGAGCAGTTCTCCCTCCCCTATGATTGGCAAAAGCCGTTGGCTTATCGATTTATTGCTTATTGGTGCATGTGCTGGTTGGTTTCAATTTCCCGCTCCGGCCAGCACACAAGTTTATCTCAGGCGGAGATAACAACAACCAATAACCGACAGCACAATAAGCCAGTAACACATAATCAAGAAATCCAAGAGCCAATAAACAATTTCCCTCTATGGGCAGGGTGAACTGGTTTTTTGGTTATTGGGTTCATTGGTGTTTCTCTTTAAGCCCTTCCCCCCTGGACAGAATCCATTAGCTTGTTGCTGTATCTTCCCCCATCCCTTCACAAAGGCTGCAACTACATCGGGTAGCAGTAACCACGTGGGGCTGGTCAGGCCTTTTGCTTCTCCCAGCAGTCTGTCCGAGTCTGTCCCACATATTCCTGCCCCTAGACAAAACTCAGGAGATCGATCATGTATTGATAGATTGACTGGGTGCTGTACTTCCATATTCATACAGGTATACATAGTATACATGTTAATCTTAATCCTCCCCTGTAGCAAAACATCTGAAGCTGTACTAACGCACAATGACAGATAGCTGCACAAAAAATATCATACTACGCTGAAAGCTCTGCCTCGTTTGATCATGTGAAGAGTCTCTAAAGCTTCACTGCAATGTACTGTATATAAGTACAAGCCCGGGCATCTTTATGGAAAGATATAGCGTTACTGTATGAGACACCGCCAAACGCATGTTTGCTTGCCGGCTGCGGACTACACGACAACATGCAACCGGCAATATTGTTAACAGTCATGAAACATCATGAAATACAAAGGACATTTGAGAACATGGGGTAGAGATCTAAGGCATTTGCAATACAACTTAGTACTACCAATAAGGAACTGCATCGTCTCACCAGGTCTTGAATATCTAGTCCTTCACTGATGTACGTACGTAAATAGCAACAAGTACAGGTCATCACATTCAAATGAAGATACCCCTTAGGCCAGTGCATGAAAAGAGCAATACAATATTACATCCTACTGTAAAGCACAAGGAACAGTTGCATACAGCTGCCTAACATCTGTATACGTTACAACTTGTTTGCATCAATGTCAAAACTCAGACAGAAACACCGTATGTCAGGAGCAGTTGAAAATGCAACCAGATGCAACATCTTACGGTTGAATGCAAATTTGCACGCGTAGGACATACCTATGCATGGATTGTAGCAATGTGGCAGGACATATAACGCGGAAGTAGACGAATAGCACAAGGCAATGAACAAGTCACACGATGCACATCAGGTTTCGCCTACCATACCAGAGCATATGCCACTGCATGGCAGCAGTATACACAATGGAATTTTTGGATTCGGTAACAGAAAGGCGCACAAAGACACGTGTTGCAAGTAAGAGAAATGCAAGAGCTTTTCAGTCCTGCGAATGAAGCCTTCATGTCCTCTGTCATGCAGCTAAGACGTTTGTTGACTCGCCTGTTGCGGTTATGAGGTATAACTGATACCTGTGTTTACAATTAGGACTGCTGTGTCAAAACCAAAGGGGCTGCTTTTGAACACTCGCCCGCCTACCATTAAACCATCAAACCGTTAAAATATCGCTTTTCTCTCATTGCACAGACACTAAACAACTGCCAATAGAGCCATTAAACCAATGGATTTTGTCTGAAGTATTGGCTTGTTGCTGAAATGCTTGGACTTTTCTTAAATAGGCTGGAAACTTACGGGACTGAAATGGGGGCGTGCCCACACATCTTATATTAATATGATTCATGCAGAGAGAGAGAGAGAGAGAGAGAGAGAGAGAGACACACACACACACACACTGATGCGTGTTTTAAGACTGGTATGGGTTGTGGCGAAAGTCCAAAGCTCTGTTTCTTGTCTCTTTGGGTGCCCCGGCGACCCAGTCGGCGATGACGCGCGCTCCGACCGCGCGAGCGCCTCCGTAGCCAGGCTGCATGAGGCTGTAAGCATCTGTGAGCTGTGCAAGGCGCTTGTGCTGTGGGCTTCAAGAAATTGCTCGGCTTCAAGTTTTCAAGCGTTGGCGTTAGCTTGCAATGGGCCTGCTTCGACTTCTCTGAATGTGCGAAGAAAACAAGAAAGAACTCATTCCGAAACTCGCGACCATTGCCTGCGCACTTCGTCGATCAGGCGCGACACCTCTGAAGCTTTGGGAAAACGTGGCTCTGAAGGCATAAAACTTCCGCTTTGACTTCCAGGAAAGCATGCGGGCTTGAATGCTCCAGGCATGCTTGTTCCTGAAGTCAGCATGCCTGGGAAGCATGTCAGATGCGGTGTGCGCCTTCCTGAATTATAGATGGCAGCAGGCTTAAGACTGAAGCAAGTGATTTCACACAGGATGGGCAAGAATTACCGGAAAGCCTCGCCGGGATCTTCCACGGCACGCTGCACCAGCTGCCTTGCTCGTACAAGGCGCAGACTGCTGCTGTTTCCGAGGATGTGCCGGAAGCGGTAGCTGGGCTGTTGAGTTTCGCAAGACATGGCCCGGCTGGCAAAGCAGAATGACCGAACCCCGGCATCACGTAGCAGACCGTCAAAGCTTACGGGCATACACTGAACACTACCAGTATCACTGCTTCCAAGCGTACGCCGTACCCCGTCCTCTCTGGGCAAAGGGCCACTTCGACTTGCGGCTCTCGCCATGCCAGCAGTGGTTGATCTGAGCAGAGGGCTTCTCTCTGCTGCGCCTACTTCGCTTCTAACAGGGTCAGAGCTCTGGTGGAATCGGGAGCCAACCCTCAAAAACTCGGCGCCTCCTTCATGGCCGGCGGCCTGGGTCTGGTAGGCTCAGAGAACTTGGATGGGGCCTTGTTATGTAGTGTTCAAGGATTTCGGGCCGGGGGCTGAGCTCAATCCTCGGACAAAAGAAAGGCAAGTACATGGAAGATACTGCTTCAGTACATCAAGCACACATCAGAGAACAGCGTCGCACCAGAGCAATCGAAAAACGAAGCTTGAAATCGCTTCTAGCTGTCGACCTCACGGCGCGTTTCGGGCTCGGGGGGGCCCGTGAGAGAGCCTTTGCACCGGCCCCCCTTCAAAAGATCGGTGTGACGCTTTGCCCTTCTCGGGTAAGCGTCAGGCTTGAGGCCTGCAGCCTGCAGCGTCTCTGCCCGATTCAAGAAAGCTTTGAGATCGAAAGTTCTACGAGCCCTGACCATACCAGATGTGGTACGTGGAGAACTCAGTCTGCAACCTGGGCGGAGCTTGCGGTAGGAAAAAATCCCGAACGCTGTGCAAATGAGCACTATCCCTAAGCTCTGATCCGCAACCCCAAACTCTAAACTGTAGACCCCGCACCCCAAAACCCAAAAACCTCTAAGACCCCTAAACCCTAAACCCCCTAAAATCCTTAAACCCCTAAATCCCTAGGACCCCTCGAGCATGCGACGAGGGACGAGGATGCGGCTGAGGACGACGACGAGAACGACCCCATTCAATTCATGGCTGTGAGTTCGGCGGTGATGATGTAGAACGATCATGGCTATCATATTAATGACACTCCTGATGACTTATTTCGAAGCTGCCGTTGCTGGCTGCCTGGCAATGGCGAGCGGCCTCCGAATTCGGTGCCCGGTCAGAGGAGCCAGCATCTTGCTCACTTCCCCTTCCCCGCCACCGCTCTCTGCGCTGAAAGCATCCCAGTCTCAGGTCTGGTCTGAGACCCGTGCCCGCTGCGCCAACAGCAACTGAAGAGTTAATATTAATATTCGTGCAGCAACACGAACTCCCACTAAGTGTGTGGGTGATCTAGTCATATTCATCCGCTAGCTTCTTTGCATTATCATTCTAAGATGGACTACTCGGCCCTACGATTGCTAGCATGATTACAACTGTCAGGTCCTTAGCTAGTGTTGCTATCAGTCTAGCACGGCTGCTACCACGAGTGACTATTGTTGCCATCAGCACGACTGACAACAGAAAGCAGCCACAGCAGCCTGCAAGCACTCCTGCGCCATGGACAGTGCTGCTGTCCCTACTTCGCCGGGATGATGACTATGATGATAATGACGATCATTGTCCTTATGTTTATTGCCTTTCGGCCAAAGCGTTACTACTCTCTAGGAGTTTAGCGTTTATTAATTCAGAATCCACATATGTTGGAAGGCCAAGTTCAGCCTATCGTTTGGCTGCTTGCACTGGGGTGCTTCACCTGAGCTATGCGCTGAAGGCTGCCGCTTTGGATTGCCACAGACGAAACCAACAAACAAGGGCCGATGCCCTTTGACCACCCTGCACTCATGACATTGCTCAGGACCACAGGCGTCAGCCAGCAGCCTGAGTTGCGAAGCTGGAAGCGAACCCTTCTGGGAGTTGGATCTGGTCCGGGCTTCAGCTTCTCCCACGCTAGACAATAACTCTTCTTGCCAAAGTCTACTTGCGATCCCAACCCAACCCGATGCAACTCAATGCTACGCTTTGAACTTCTTGTGGCCGGAGTGCCGCAATGAGAGCAATGGCGCTGGCGAAGAGCACCTTGAAATAAGTCGCTCGAACAGGGCGTCGTCTTGGGCTTTCGATTAACACGGTCTTTCTTCCCTTCTCCTTGCCACTGCGAATCGTCAAGCGAACCCCGGCTGCATGGCACCTAACCCTTAAGGCCTATCTCCTAGAGGCCTCTCTTGGCCCGGCACAAACCCTTTTTGCAACGCTTCAACTCTTCGAAGGGTTGAAGGCACAGCGAGCATCCTGGAGTCCTGAGCCTGGCACGCACACCACAGGGACCAGGCCCCAAACTCCCGCAGAGGTGCCCGCGAACTCCTGCAAGCGGCTAAGCCCAGCGGCTGAACATCTGGTTGGCACCTTTCTGCTGATATCAGAGTGCAGCTACACTTGACTGCGCCGCTGAGCGTTTCAGGGTGGGTTTTTTAACCGGTGTCCGCTCTCACTGGACGATTCGAAAACCTGCCTCGGGCATACCTAGTCTAGTCTGTGGTGACTGGGTCCCAAACCCTGATGAACCCGAAGCGGCAGCACTGCTTCCTGCTCTGTGTATTGGACAAGCTTCATCCTTAAAGCCGAACTCGAAGTCCTTGAAAAAGAAGGTACCCCAGAGGATACCAACCAACGGCGCCGACTGGCCGATGCAGTAGGAGATGGTGAGATCTGGGTACAAGGAAAGGCTGTTGGCTTGCTTAGCTCCAGCACATCAAAGCACATGCGGCGAAGAGGCTCATCGACTTGTTTCCCAGGTTGAAGAAGAAGAACCCAGAGCCTTGTGCTGCGGTACAGCTGGGTCTCTGCAAGATTTGAACCCTCCACCTACCTCCGGCACTCTTCTCTCTCTTCTCTTCCGGCAAGTCACATAGGATGAAGCCACCCAGCATGGACAGGAGGTGACACTTCAGCGGTACGGACCGATAGCCCCTGGCTCTGGGTAGGTGTAGGGAAAGGCGGCAGAACTGTGAACTTTAGCGTCGCTAGTCGAAGGCCCTCATAACCCCCCAGAGTCCCAGTCCAAACTCGGCAAGAATCGAAGCAAGACCTCAAAGGACTCAAAGGCTCTGGCCCTTGCTGCGAATGGGGCCTGAGAATGGGACAGAAATTGGTCCCGGCACCGCCCTCGATGGGGCAGGCCGTGATCAGTGGCAGCATCACCTTCCAGGCAGTAATTCCGTCGTAGCTGGCTCAGCTGGAAGGGTTGAAGCTCCTATTCAATCCTCTTCACAAGTTCTTGCTTGAGGCCCTTTGCCGAGGCTCTATCATTCACGGTATTTTGAATACTGTCGATACACTCGGTGCTATGGCTTCTGTGCTCTTCTTGTTCATCCGCCTGCTCTTCTTGTTCATCCGCCTCGCTCAGATTGCTTCTGTGGTCCATCTCGTGACTGAGGCTTGCTTTAGCTGTCCAAATCCCTGACACCGAAATCAAGCGAAACTCCCTCAGCTCGCTGAGCTTGTATGAGGCGAGTCGCAATGGAGCTGAGGAAGACGCCCAGCGAGAAATACTGGCAGCAAAAACATGCTTCGTCGGAGCGGTTTGAGCGGCTAGCGCTAAGTATCAACGCACCAAGACCGTACAGGTCGCACCTATACGAAATGCTCCTGTGGGGGTCCTATGCACTCTCCAGCAGGTGTTCGGTTGTGTCCAGAGCGGCCCAGAGGCATCTGACCCTTTGTGACTACTGCTCTTGGGATTTTACTGCCGCGAGTGTTCTTGGCCTTCTTGGCATCAACAAGATTTCGGAAAGTTGTCGGTGTTCTGACTGTTGCTGCCGACACTAGTGCTGTCATTGTTGCTACTGCTGCGTCCTCTCAATGTGATGCCAAAACGACTCTCACTGCTGCGCATGCTTTCTGTCCCTACTTGTCTGCTAGTCCTCCTTGCTTGTCGAGCTACTAGTACCGCTGGTCTTCACTTCATTCACAGCGACATGGTCTCCCTGTGAGAGATTTCTGTGGCTTTGGCCTTCTTATGTTGATCGTTGCCCAGGTCAGTTGTCCTGATCATCATAACCCTTTATAGAGACATGGCAAGTGTGCAGCAACTTTCGCTCTCGCATCCTCACCCTGAAGCTCCTTCAAGCAGAGATCACTTTAGGCCAGCGGCCGTCTGGTTGGCGTAGGGGGACAGCAAGCAGGGGTCGGAGGTCGCCTTCCTCGCAAGGGCATACTCTGAAGGCCTCTGCTCCTCTGCTGTTGCTCTCGATCATCCAAGTTCTCAGTTTCCATGCAATACCTTGCTGTCTCCAAAGCCTGCGGCCCCGAATCCCACAAGTCCTCCCACTCCCAGTGTCTCGATCAGAGAAAAAAGGATTTGTCTCATTCTATGGAACGACTAAAAAAAATGCCTCCACCCCGCAGCACATGTGCAGAAGAGCATCCCGACTCCGATGTTGGAGAATCCAAGGAAGAGGCCACCGGTGATGCACACGACCAGCTTCCTGCGCTTGCAGCAACCAATCTGCACAACCAAAAACGTTCCGCATCCGGCACGGATGTGGCACTGCATAGGAGGTATACTAAGGCGAAGGCCTCGTGGTCGATCTACGTAACCATGCGCACTTACTGCATATTCGCGGTTTCCACACAGACGGTCCGATGACAGCTTCACGGGTTACAGGCACGAGACATTTCGTGAAGGTTGTCGTCCTTGCCTGAGCATACTGGCCCGCGGTGGCTTCGCTGCCTTGCACGCAACTGCCCCAGGATCCGCTTTTGAGTTCCGAGGCCAAGAAAGCCCCGGCCAAGTGCTTCGAGGGCTGAGTTCTGAATTTTGGGATTAGGAGACTTTGCGCGCACTACAAAAGGAATCCTTGGTGTCCTTACCGTCCCACCTCCGCGCAGTCTGCTGACTCCTCGGCGCTTGCTGTCGTGTCCTCGCGAGGTTCGGATCCGAAGCCGGGCTCGGAGGCTCGGCGGGCTCGGGTCTTTGAGTCGGGGACGAAGGAGAGAAGACATGGCAGCATGAGTCTGAGCAGACATTGCGGTCTGAGCTCACGGATCCTGCACCCCCTTGTAGCCCAGGGAGGCCCAGGCCTAGGCCTCCCTGGGCTCCTCAAATCGAAAATCGTCAAGGCAGAAATGGGTAGAAACTAGCTGGACATTCACAGTCCCGACATGTCTTGACCCCATTCGCAAAACAATCAACTTACTTGAAAGTTTCGGGCTGGGGGCCCTGACGGGCTACGGGATCGAGCTCAAGTGATCAAGATGTTCAGTTCTTGAAAGCTAAACGATGGTAACGGAACTTCTGATGGACTTCAAACCCCGCAACACAAGCCAGTATGTTTTGTCGCGGCCTTTCAAAGGTCAAGCTGGCTTTCGCAGGAAACGCTAGACTCGCTCCAGCTTTGTCAGTTAGACCAGCTGAGGGATCCTGGCACTTCCAATGTCCAAGGTGCTTGCTACAGTAATTGGGATAGTAATCCGCCGCAATGGATGCCCCAGCTGCCCCCGGAACCCCGGTGAGGCTGCCCTTCGCGCGGCTCTTCAGCTTTGTGCTGCAGGGGACTCATTCAACGAAGGCAAGGCAGCAGGGCCCCTGGCCTCCTGGGATTTGCTTGAGTGACAGGTCGCTGCAATGGGCTTCAGCTCAGGCCCCTTTTCACGGCATAAGTGGCATTTTATCATCCTCCGATCCCCAATCCCCCAACGTGCCCCAACCCTCGAACACCTCTTCGACTCGCTCCAGGGCTTTCAATGTCGCAAGTTTCGCGGCGCGGCGCTGCTTCTTCTTGTCCTTTGCCGTCATTGACCTGACCCGATGCGGCTTACAGCGGGTGCTTGCAGACTCGCCCGATCTCTGCAAGCTTCAGGATGCTCAGGGCTGGGATGGGCTGAGGCTGCATGGATACACGGATTGGCCGAGTTTAGCTGGAACCTTCACTGCTGTACCAAAATAGGCGAAGCAGCCTCATTCGATCCAACTCATAGCTTGATCAAGTGATAAGATTGCAGCTGCCAGTTTTGCAGCAGCCGAAGCTCGGAGCAATGGCTTGCGGGGCTTATGGCTTATGCTGTAAGCAATGCTATGGCTATGCCCGCATTCGTTGCAGTGCGTTGTGGTACATGCGGTTTCGAGCGCACATTGCAACCGACAGCGCCAGACACAGCTCTCTGCCAAACATATGCCAGGAAGCTTCTCAGGAATTGCGGGCGAAGCCGGGAGATCAGTGCGCCTTTGGCTGTGGGGCAGTTCTGCTTGAGGTGGTGCACACGGCGACGATGACGGCTGCTGCTGATGATGATGATGACGACAATGATGACTTTTGATGCCAATGATAATGCTGATGCTACTGTTCCTCCTGCTCCTGCTCCTGCTCCTGCTCCTTCTCCTGCTCTTGCTCCTGCTCCGACGCCGCCACTGCCGCCGCCGCCGCAACTACATCGACGGCAGGGCCGACTCCTGCCATGTCACGACAACGACCACCACCACCACCACCACCACCACCACGACGATGCCGACGACGATGACCACGGCAACGACAACGACCATCGATTAGCACCACCACGACCACAACCACCACCACCGCCACCACCACAACCACCACCACCATTACCACCACCACGCAACAGCAACAACAGCAGCAGCACCACCACCAGCAGAAACTCTTGACAAGACACTCGCACTGAAGAAAAGACGTGTCAGTCGCAGCAAGACATGTTTTCGCTTCTCGCAAAAGGGTAAGAGACTCAAGAGGGCCCATCTTAGGCCGAATGGCAACGGAGAAAAAGGCTGACAGGTCAAGCGAAAATACAAGCGCAACTTTATCACTGGTCAATTTTTCTTTTGACCTGTCGGAGGATCACCCACGGGGCCTTAAACCACTCGTGGAGTGCCGCCAGTAGATCAGCCGAAAGTTTGGTGAGCCCATCTGCGCGCATCAACTCAGTTGGGATCCAATGAATCGAGCTAGCATCCAAGCTATCCTGCACAGACTTAATGTTCACCAAAACTCGCTTCTCCTTGATCTGAGGGCTCTCTTGAATGAGCGAGTCGTAGAGGCTTTTAGCATCCACGGCGTGAAGCATGCGGAGTGCTGGTTTTGCCTTGTAGGCCAGCTCTCCTGTAAGGATCTCGGTCAGGAAGAGGTTTGTGTAGTGGAGACGATCTACAGCTTCATCAGCAGCCATAGCTTCGGCAGCTAGGGTACTACGACAAACTCGGGCACTCTTTCCTGAACGCCAATCCAACAGTAAGCCTAGGCAAGGAGTCGAAGACACGTGGGCCGTGGTGGCGAGCACTAGAACTCCGTACTGCGACTTTAAGTCGTTAGGGGAGTTGGCAAAAGAAGCGTCACTGTACGAAACTAGTGTGGTTGCTAGGTTCAGTGGCACGTCTGGCAGAAGGAGTCCTTGCTCGGCGGTGCTCTTGGCGAAGTCGAGGGCGAAGTAGAGGGACTTGAGGTTGCCCAGGTTGCTTCGTGAGTTCAGGCTGTTAAGCGACACGTATGGAGACAGCTCAGGGCGAGATTGTCCACAGAGCCACTGCAAACAGCCTGCCACGGACCTCAGCTCTCCCTGTTGTTCGGGAGTCAAGGGCTGCTCCAAGTCCGCGTCCTTCGGGATCTTGCCACTGTCGAGTCCACGGATGAACTCTGCTTGGGAGATGTAAAGGACGTGTTTTCCCCGGCTGTTCAGCCTGAGCGTGAGCTCCTTGCCCTTGAAAGTCAAGGGAGTGTTGAGCTCGAAGTAGCTGAGACTTCCCCAGGTGAAGGCTTTGTGCACCTCGCTGATGTCATAGTCGACGCGAAAAACTCCCAAGAAGTCGTCGACGTAGCCTCGGGAATCCCTCTTCAAGAAGACCATCCGGTCGAAGGAGTGCTGGGTGTACCCGAGCTTCACGAGCCTGGTCGTCACTTCCACGCACCACAAGCGAGGAGCGTTCGCCAAGCCGTAAATGTTCGACTTGATGAGGTACAGCGGTGCTTTCCAGTGAGGAGTCTGAGAGATAAGTCCGTCACTGGGTGGCCTCATGTACAGAGGCTGGCTTCGTTCTTCTTGAGGCTGTTGTCCTTGGAGAAAAGCCGTCGAGGCGTCTGCTAGCCAGCCAGTCCACTTGTGGCCTGTGGTGCCGAACTCGCCGTTAGAACCCGAAACGAGGATCATCAAAACGATGTGCTCGCTAGTTCTGCAGGGTGTTGGAGCCTGGCGATTAAGACTGAATAAATCCGGGTCTTGATGGCCCAGGCAAACTATCCTACATTTGGGTCGAACTTGCCCCTGTCCCCTGCTCTTGTCTCTGTAACAAGCTCTGCTGCGCAGGATCCGCTTGACAAGAATCTTGTCGTTCAGCACTTTCTTGGCCTGCTCGTGTGACAGCGGCTCCACACTGTCCCACTGTTTCCAGGACTCAGCTTCTTTTTCAACCGCCTTCAAGTAGTCCTGAATGCGGGGGCCCTTCATGATCACCGTCCATGGAATCTCGCGGTCAAGTTGCTTGAGCTCCCTTCTCGAGAGCTTGCGTCCGCCTGCCTTGGTGGTGTTGTCGGCGTCGGAGTCGCTGGTGTCGCTCTCCCTGGGGTCCTTGTCCGGCGGTACGTCTCCTGGTCGGTGGTCTGAAGCCAGGTACGCCTCGTAGAAGGGGCGCCGTAGTGGTCCGAACACGCCGTTGTGGAAGGTCTCGCCAGGTAGTACACGGTGTAGCTCGCCACCGTCTGCCAACAGGGTTGTCAGAGTGTCGAAGGGCCTTTTCTGAGGTAGTACCGGAGGTGCCTCAGCGACGTCTGGAGAAGGTTGAGAAGCTGCCTGTGAACTTGGAACCTCCTCGGTAGGTGTCCTAGAAGTTGAAGAAGCACTGCTCGTCGGGTGGCCAGGTTGCAAGGAAGTTGGTCGTGACTGCTGCTGGTCACCTTGTGCCAAACTGGGCACCGGCGAGGTCGTTGCTGTGGAACTGTGTGGTCGTTGGTCTCCGGGTAGTAAAGAAGGTTCTCCTCCAGCTGGTGGTTCAGAAGGTGCTGCTTCCTGTTGAGGCTCACCAGGTTGCGCGGAAGTTGGTCGTGACTGCTGTTGGTCTTTTCCGTGCTGGCCTGGTGGTGGCTCGTCGTCGTAGGCGGCGCTGTCAAAGGCTGCGCTCTGCAACGCCTCGTCGTAGGAAGCGCCTGCTGGCAGCGCTGGTGGTTTGGGTCCTTCTTGTAGTAGAGGTCGAGCTGCTGGTGAACGGCTCCGTGTTTGTCTTGGTGTCCTCGGAGTTCGCGGTGGCAAGTTGACTGCGCGAGAGGGGTCACCAAAACTCTGGACGTAGGTGTTCTGCTGGTAGGTAGGGCTCAGTGTGAGGTTGTAGTTGTCGGTTCTGGTGGCCTGTAGCTGCGGTAGTTGTGGTGCTTGTGGTTGCTGGGGTGTGTTCTGCTCCTTTGGCGGCACCAGGAAGGGAACTGAGGGTCCAGGCGCCATTGCCGGAGTCGGTGGTAAGGACTCCGCGTCGAGGATGTCCTCCTCTTTGTCGGGCAACTCGTCTTCAGGAGGAGGAGGCCCTTGTTGATCTTGGAAGATGCTCTCGCGGATGTCCAGAGTGGCGTCCTTCAGACACTTGATGTCTGACTCGTCGGGACACCAGTCTTCCCAGCCAGCTGCCAACCTCAGCTGCTCCATGGCCACCAAAATGTTGCCGGATCTGATCCAGCACTGCTTGTTCGGCTGTGAGGGGTCGTAAGCAAGGAACCGTCCCGTAGTCCAGGCACCGCGCTTGCGAAGTCCACGTCTTCGCCAGCGCCAGAAAGCAATCTTTTGGCCTGGTTGTAGTCCTTCAATCTTTGTGTTGTTGGTCTTTCGGAGGATTGCCCTTCGCAACCCTTGATCCACGTTCATGGCTGCTAGGTGGCCAATGGCCTCAGAGCGAGCACGTTCGGCTGCGAGGCCCGGGTCCATCACGGACTGA